CCATCAGGTCTGAGGGCTACCCAGATCTATTCTGGGTGGAACCTGTCAGATGCCACATTGTTGCACTTCACTAGAAATGAGTTTGCTTCCAGCTCTGTGAATATGCAGTATCATCACCCACAGCCTTTCCTTTCTTATACAAAATGGCGCCCAATTAGGTTCTAGAGGGGCAGACTGGGCTATGAAATCTACCCTGTTATGGCAACACCTGTCTGGGACCTGCCACTGTCTCTGCTCCTGGTCAAATCAAACAGACCAGCAGGATGGGCAATTCTTTGGGTTCCCCTCTTGAGCTCCAAGAAAACACCCCTTCCCACCTTGTTGCTGGTGGAATTCCAGCTGTCAGTGCAATTCAGATTGCCACTTGCTGAATGTAGCCTGGGTATCAGTCACTGCCAACACCACACTGTTGTGCCCGCTCCTTTCCTGTATCTGTCAATCTCCAAGTGCCCTTCTGCTGTCATGTTGTCCTTTCCCATTTCCTGGTATGTGCCCTCTCTGCTTTGCACTGGCTAAGGTTTCTCCATCTGTTTAAACATGTCCTTACCCTATTCCACCATCTTCCATTTTCTTTCTTAAAACTACTTCACAGCATGGGGCAGAGGAGGGTAGCACCAGCCCTGTGGCACAGTGGCTTCAGCTATTATCTGCTATGCCAGCATCTTGTATGGGCAGAAGTTCAAATCCATTTCTGATCCAGCTCCTTGCTAATATGCCTGGGAAAGCAGAAGAGGACAGTCCGGATGAAGCTCCTGGCATCGACCTGGCCCAGCCCCTGGACAGAGTAGCCATTTGGGAAGTGAATAAATGGACAGATCTCTCTCTCTCTCTGTAACTCTGCCTTTCAAATAAACTATTTAAAACAATAATTCTTGGGCCCAGCACGGTAGCCTAATGGCTAAATCCTCACCTTGAACACACCAGTGGCCGCCCCACTTACCTTCCAGCTTCCTGCTTGTAGCCTGGGAAAGCAGTCAAGGATGGCCCAAGGCCTTGGGATTCTGCACCCACATGGGAGATCTGGAGGAGGCTCCTGGCTCCTGGCTTTGGATGAGAGCTCTGGCCATGGCGTCCACTTTGGGAGTAAATCAACGAACAGATCTTCCTCTCTGTTTCCTCCTCTTCTGTACATCTGACTCTCCAATAATAATAATAAAGACATTCGGGCCTGGCGCGGTAACGTAGTGCTTTAAGTCCTTACCTTGAACATGTAGGGATTACATAGCGGTGCCGGTTCTAATCCTGGCAGCCCCACTTCCCATCCAGCTCCCTGCTTGTGGCCTGGGAAAGCAGTCAAGGACAGCCCAAAGCCTTGGGACCCTGGACACACATGGGAGACCCAGAAGAAGCTCCAGGATCCTGCCTTTGGATTGGCTCAGCTCCAGCGATTGCAGCCGTTCAGGGAGTGAAATATCAGAAGATCTTCCTCTGTCTCTTCTCCTCTCCGTATATCTGTGTTTCCAACTTGCACAGGCACAAAGCACAGTGCCTAACTGGAAATATTTATTTTGAAAGAGTTAACAAGAGAGAAGATGGAAAGAGATCTTTCATCCACTGGTTCATTCCCCAGATGGCCACAAGAGCCATGACTGGGCCAGCAGCCTTGAAGAGCCAGGTGCTTTTTCCGGGTCTCCCACATGGGTGGTAGCAGCCAAAAACATCTGGACCATTTTGTTGCTTTTCCCTGGCATCAGCAGGAAACTGGGTCAGAAGTGAGACAGCTGGGTCTTGAACCAGCACCCAGACGGGATACTGGCATCACAGGTGGTAGCTGTTACCTGCTGCGCCACAGTGCCGGTTCACTTAGCATCTCTCACCTGCTGAAGCATGATGCAGTACACAACAGCCAGGCAGCACTGCTTTTGGTGTGGGTTCAACACTGACTTCGAATTGCAGTAAAAACCGCCCACACAGGGTTCTAACGGGAACAGCACATGGAGCTCTATCCTGCCAACCAGCCAGCAGTATGGGGCCAGGCACCAGCCATACCATGCCTTTTCCCAAGATCCCCAGCATGAATGCTGCTGTAATCCTGCTACAACGCTCTGGTCCCTCATTCTGCCACTGCTCCGTGAGCCAGCGTACAACTTTCAGCATGAGGCAGTGCTGAGGTGCCTCTACAAAGTCTGATTTTATCCCTCCGTTGAACACAGGCAACCATATGAAGAGTACTGTGAAAAACCACGGCCCTCTTTACAGAATCAAAGGTGATGACACCCAGAGCCTATCACCCAAGGCTGCTCACGAACTCAACTGCAAGGAGCCAGGAGAACAGCCTACCTCCTTTCACTCAGTGGCCCTGGGGCTCCATCTTCTTCCCATGCAAGAGATCCAGGTCTGTGGGCTTCTCTGTTTATGGAAGTTTTTGTGGTTAGTTCACAATTCTCTGGGCTTATGTGGTACATCCAAGCCAACACCACCAAACTGGAGACTCCATCCCAAGTCCACCAGCTATATCAGTGTCCCCTAGTGGAGCTCCAGAGCATAACACAACTACCCCAAAAGCCCCTGAAGCCCACCACTGGAAATCCAATGTCAAACAATCCCCAGAACCAACCCATTGCCCTGCCACCACCACACACACCCCACCACCCTGGTCACACACACACCACCATCTCCTCTCACTGACTGCTGCTGTTTTCCTTCAACAAGGAAAAATGGAGGCCAAACTCCTCAGCTGAGGCGCCACAACACCCTTTCAGCTCCAGCATAAGCTCATCCCATCATGCCACCAGACCTTTCTGATCCAACCCTGCAAAGTTTCTCAAGGGCACAAGCAAGCTATCACCAGCACACTACCCTTAGCTCAAGCTTTCCTTGCTCTCCACCTAAGTTGGCTAAAGGAATTGGCTCAACCTGAGTGGTATGGCTGGCCCTAAAGATTCTAATCCCTGGATTCAAGACACCATTCGCTTCTGCAATGGATACAACCTGCTGGCCTGGCCTGGGCAGAACCTAGCTACCACCCCCTGCAGGCAGACCCCAGACTTACTGTACTGCTGACCAAAGGAAGCTCCTGAGTACCACTAACCAGAAATTCAACATGACCAGAGTATGGGCCTCTCAGCCCAATTTCAGTAACTTCCCTGGGAGCCCAGGGGATTGAGCCATGGCTGTCCAGCTCCGTACTCTGCAAGTGAACACCTAGCCCCATCCCCACCCCTACCTCAATGTGCATCAATTGGCTATCTGCACAGTGGGCAAGAGGATCCAGGTTTGAACCAGGAGGAAACTGGTCCAGGAAACTTGGGAGGCATCATCTTGATGGACTTACCCCCGTTTTGGTCACAACCATCTCTTGGTGTTTTGTTATGTACACACACACGCCTTAGTCTCTGCTTGAGGTGTGGCCTCTGCCTGAACTTTCTCTTCCCCAGAGGCACACTTGGCAAACACTTGATCCCCTGTTCTCTGCACTTTCTCTCTTTACACTCAGTCTTACCTTCATGCAGTCAGACCACAACCCCCAACCTCCTTACTCGTTTCCCTGGCCTGTCTCGTAACTCAAGGTGCAGAGCCCACTCAGCTATGACGCACTGCTTAACACCACCATCTTCATGGCAGAAAGGCATTGCCCTTCCAAAGCAGTCAACCTGCTTTGTTTTTATTTTTAAGGTTTATTTATTTGGTAGGCAGAGAGAGGGGAGATTTTCCATCCACTGGTTCATACCGCAAATCACTACAAAAGCTAGAGCTGAATTAGGTCAAAGACAGGAGCCAGGAGCTTCTTCTGGGACTCCCATGTGAGCACAGGGGCCCACTACCTTGGGACACCCTCTGCTGCTCCCCCAGGCACATTAGCAGAGCACTGGATTCAAAGAGGAGCAGCAGGGACTCCAAGTGGCATCCACCCGGGAGCTGCTACACCACACGGGCAGCTCATCTGTACCTGAAGAATTAAGCTGCCCAAGTTCCTTCCACCTACTCAAGTCATACTCTAATCACGGGGTACAGTCAACTGACAATGCCGGACACTGTGCAACAGTTTCACTGGGAGCGCATGTAAACAAGGAGACCAGGATACATACATATATACACATACACCAGGAGTTGGGAGGGGGGAAAGAGTATTATGGATAAACAGAGCTAAAGAACACCCGCTGACATGTGGCTGAGCATGGCTGAGCAACCTTGAACATGAGATATTTTTCAAAGAAATAAATGGGGAAGAAAAATCAATCCCTAAGTTAGCAAAATTTTGTTACGAGTCTACATTAAGAATAGAACAAGACACTGAAAAAGTCTGAAACTTAAAAGTTCTTCTTGTAAGGAACCTAATTCTGGATTTTCCTAAAGCAGAAAGTAATTAGTGAAAAATCCCTAGATGTTTGTCTGTTACGTAAGTTAGGGGGCATGGGGAACGTGACCCCTCACAGCAGTGTTGGGTACTGGTTACAGGGATGAGACGTGACAACCTGTCACTGCAGTCGGGGACGGTAACTAGCACCCAGCCAACAGGCGAAACCGTTGTCCCTTCTTTGCAGAGTCTCAGTGACCCCACAGGCCTGAAAACATCGACCTACAAAGGCTGGAGGAGGAAAACTGCTTTCCAAAAATCACACCACGAGCCCAACCACGTGGCCATGTCCTCCACACACACAAGACAAGCACCAAGGAAAGATGAGTGTTTATTTACTTTACAAAGAACAATGGCAGGAAACCGCCATCGACAGGTCCACTGATAGACAAGTCACTGCACATCCCTCCAGAAGCTCGGGCAGGCCTGCCCAAGCTGCTCTTCCGGCCCCACTTGCTCAGCCGGGCACGGAAATTGCTGTTCGGCTGCTGATGCTGAGCAGTCCCTCCGAGATGATGGTTTTGTTTTACATATTCACAGGTGGGAGAAAAACCAATCCGCGTGCCCAGACCTTCCTGAGCCGGGCCGCCTCCGCCTGGGCCGCCGCGAGCGTGAAGCCCATGCCTGCTCAGATCCCCAATTCTTCTCAACAGGCTTCCATAGCACGCCACAACACTTACAGATATTTATACACACATAAAAATCTCTTGAGTCAGGTTTATTATTTTTTTAAAGATAAACAGATACCCTAACACTGCCAGAGTGGATAATGAAAAGGAAGATAAACATTAAATTATTGGATTATAAAAATATTTTCTTTGGAAAAAACTTCCAACAAGGTTATCAGTAATATCTAAAACCAAAGAGAAAAAATAAACAATTGTCCTTTGATCCATTAGTAATTTAAATAAAAATGAAAACCTCTTCAAAAGCAGCAGTCACTTTGAAAAAGTCGCAGGCGAGGAGCACCTCGCTCTATACATGGTGATCGTTACAGGCAAGCGGCAGTTGAGAGAAATCCTTAATATGGCTAACTCTTTCATTATTAATTATCATAATTTTCTTATGTTGTTCTAAAAAAATATTTCACATGACAGTTAAAAAATAAGTGGCTCTCCTGGGGAAGCACTCCAACGCTCCACCTGACTCAAGCCACATCACCACAGACAGGAGATGTGTGGGGAACATGGCCGGTGTTTGCTTAAAACCTCCATCATTTTGACTCTAGCTTGCAATTACCCTTGTTATCTCATGAAAACGTAACAAATTTAATGTTCTGCTTGTGCTGTCCTGCACTGGACTCACCGGGAGGAGAGCCTGTCGACAGTCCGGCTCCTGAAGCCCAAGGGGATGGGGCTTGAGGTTAATTCTGGACACAACCAAACGTACTAGGATATTATATTATATTATAAAAATATACCGTATATTGGACACTGGTGTCATACATTGCAGAAAATGTATCTATTTACTGTGTAAAGTTTATTAACATTTGAATGAAACACTCTTATTTACACAGTAGGAGTCTGGGGTGCCCAGGACAGCAGGGTGCGCGGGACTCACAGCTATGGCCTGGGCGAGGCGGGCGGCCCCGGGCGGTCCAGCCCACGGCCCACCTCCCCAGGAGGACTCGGCAGCACAGCACGAGGCAGGCCAATGGGCGCTCAGTCTGGGGCTGGCTTCTGCAGGCTTCATTCTTCCTCACTCTCATTCTCCGGATCTAAATCGGAATCTCCATTTACTTCTTTTTCACTTTCTCCATCTCTGTCCTCACCATTTTCTTCACCATCCTCATCGTCCTCTTCCTCGACATCCTCATCAGTCTCACTGTCTTTCTCTTCCTCATCTTCATCCCAATTATCCTGGTAGGAACATCAAGGCAGACACACATCATGAGGCCTCATTCTGACAGGGCACAGGACAGAAAGGCAGAGCCACCCACCGCCAGCACAGCCACTTACGTCGGAATCCTTATCCGGCAGCTCATCCTCCGACTCCTCCGATGATTCTGGCAGGGAAAGCAATAACAGAAACACACGGCTCAGGATTACCACTGCACACACAGCACAGCACAGCCTGCACATTCAACAAAGCAATAGTGCTGAATGCACTTTCACAAACAGGGACACGCAGCGCTCAGCCATCTACGAGTCACTGCTGTACCCTAACCCTTATCTGCTTAGAAGCACACTTGCCTTTGTAATCTGAATCAGATCATGCACTAAAACCTCATCTTAGAATTGTTACACATTTCTGGAGTACCTAAAGCCCCAGTTGATAGGAAGAATTCTACATGAAAACTTTACTTGAGAAATGTGTAAGAAATGGAAATCAGCATTACCTTATAATCACATAAGAGTGCTGATTATATACTGTGAATTGACACACTAAATGTATTTTGTAACAAATAAAATACTGAAACATCCCCAAAAGCTGGCTCCTATTTTTTTTTTAAAGATTTATTTATTTGTCCCAGAGTCAACATCCCTGCACGACATGGTAGCAACTGCCAGGGCTGGGCCACATTGACCCCAGCAACCAGGAGCCCCATCCGGGTCTCCACTCGGGAGGCCAAGAGCCACATGGAAGCACAACAGCAGGCCTGGCTTGGATTTGTGGAGCAGTCTGGGGGGCTCCTCCGTGCTGTGCTTTCCTTGTTGCGCGAGTGAGGCCGGCCTTCTGCAGTGCTTGGGGTGTGAGCCAGCTCAGGGAGAGCACTGTGGCACACACAGTAAGCCACCACCAACACTGCAAGCATCCCCTCGGTGCCGGCTCTCCTGCTTCCAATCCAGTTTCCAGTTACTGGGCCTGAGAAAGCAGATGAAGCTAGCCCAGCCCTGGCCATTGTAGCAACTTGGGAAGCGAACCAGTGGATAAACTGTAAATGATTTTCAAATGAATAAACAAAATCATCTTCCAATTATTTTTCTTAAATATTTATTTATTTTTATTGCAAAGTCAGATATACAGAGAACAGAAAAGACAGAGAAGAAGATCTTTTGTCCAATGATTCACTCCCCAAGTGACCAGAATAGCTGGAGCTGCACTGATCTGAAGCCAGGAGCCTCTTCCAGCTCTCCCACACAGGTGCAGGGTCCCAAGGCTTTGGACCATCCTCAACTGCTTTCCCAGACCACAAGCAGGGAGCTGGATGGGAAGTGGGGTCACCAGAACTAGAACAGGCACCCATATGGGATCTCAGCAAATTCAAGCCTAGGACTTTAGCCACTAGGCCACAGTGATGGGCCCCCAGCTATTCTGTTTAAAAGGAGGTAAATCCACAACCACAAGATGGTGCATCTTGCTAGAGAAGCTCACCAATGCCTCTAGCAACTCTGAAAGTAATCCTTCCCAGCTGAAGGGGTGAAACACCCCAATCCTGGACTGAAGCCTACTCTCAATAAACAAACTATCATAGACATTTTCAGGATACGAAGTGATGCATGAAGGTGAATCAGACACTGCATAAAGAATTTGTTGGGGGACCTAGCACAGTAGCCTAGTAGCTCGAGTCCTCGCCTTGAATACACCGGGATCCCATATGGGCGACAGTTCTAATCCTGACAGCCCTGCTTCTCATCCAGCTGCCTGCTTCTGGCCCTACATCCACCCAGAAGAGGCTCCTGACTCCTGGCTTCAGATAGGCTCAGCTCCAGCCGTTGCAGCCACTTGGGGAGTGAACCACTGGACGGAAGATCTTTCTCTCTGTTTCTCCTCCTCTCTGCATGACTTTCCAATAAAAATGAATCTTAAAAAAAAAAAAGAAAGAAAAAAGAAAAAAATTTGGTTTGTGTATTAATGTCAGCCAAAAGAAGAATATATATTTAGTAAAACACTCTAAAATTTTACTTTTTATTTTTTTAAGACTTGTTTATTCAAGCGAAAGGCAGAGTTATAGAGTGATAAGTAGACAGATATTCCATTTACTGGCTCATTACTCAAATGGCCACAAATGCTGGAGCTAGGTCAGGCCACAGCTAGGAGCCAGGAGCCAGGCTCCTCCTCAGGGTCTCCCAGGTGGGTGCAGGGGCCCACACATCTGGATGGAAAGTGAATAGGCAGGACATGGGATGCTGGCAACAGATAAATTCCCCTTGTACCCATCTCCCTAGATCTGGCACTGTGGCATAGCAAGCTAAGCTTTCACCAGCAACACTGACATCCTATATGGGTACTGGTTCGAATCCCAGGTGCTCCACTTCCAATCCAGCTCCCTGATAATGTGCCTGGGAAAGCAGTAGAAGATGGCCACATATCTGGGACCCACACCCCACATGGGAGATTCTGGCTTCTGTCTGTACAGAACACAGCACCGGGACTTGATTTTGTGACCAAACTTATCCATGTTGTGTCCCCACTTGATGTGATCTAATTTAACACTGCATCCACTCAAACAGGTCACAGACAAACATAATTAACAATTTTTGAATATCTGTCATGATCCTCAAGCTTTTTGGTCACAAAAACATGAGAACCCTTAAAGCTCTTTTTCATACTGAATTAGTCCATTTACACAAAAAGCTAAAATGCAATTTCTTACTTTAAAATGTGCAGCTTGGGTGGGCACTGCAGGTAAGGTGATGTTTCAGGCACCTGCACCTACAGAGCCCAAGGTTCCTGCCACCCAACAGGGAAGACCTGGATAGAGTTCTTATTTCTCAAACAAATAATAACATTTTTTATAGGTAATTAGCCATTAAAAGATCCATTTATTGCATGTCAACATAAATACAAAGTCTAAAGAAAATAACAATGTTTTCCATATAATTTTACTGTTAGCAAGCTTTTCATAGTCGCCACTGCATTCTGTTCTTTGGATATGGTGACGTTTTTAAACTACACATACAGAAAATCAGCACACCGAATGTGCACTTACACTCCAAAAACTCCACATGGAGGGACTGACTCTCGGGGATGCACAGAAGCGCGTTACCCACAGTCTGTTACGAGTACACCAATTAACAAGCAGCAGGTGCAATGCAGTGTGGTGCCCTCTCGATGGACCATGAGGAGCCACCACCGATGCTGCCAGGGCTGTTGCAAGTGAGGCCTGTGCCTACTGATAACTCCCTTTTCCACGGTCCTTTTTTCACGTTTCTTCTAGTTCTATTACTTAAAGGTTATTTTATCCCTTATAAAACAAAAACAAAACCCATCTGGGGGCCTGGCACAATGGCTCAAATGGCTAATCCTCCCCTCTCAAGTGCTGAGATCCCATACGGGTGATGGATCATGTCCCAGCTGCTCCACTTCCCATCCAGCTCCTGCTTGTGGCCTGAGAAAACAGTCAAGGATGGCCCAAAGCCTTGGGACCCTGCACCCACATGGGAGACTTGGAAGGAGCTCCTGGCTCCTGACCGGCTCAGTTCAGGCCATTTGGGGAGTACACCAGCAGATGGAAGATCTTTATGTCTCTTCTAATCTCTGTAAATTTGCCTTTTTAATAAAAATAAATCTTTTAAAAAACCATGTTTAAAGATGATCCAATGTTACTTTCCTGCTAATCTGTCTCCAATAGGGTTACAACTGTAGTTTACCAACGAAATGTCAAAACTGTTTGCACATGACAAAAACTACTTTTGAAGTCCTGACAAAATTGTTCACAAAGCCTAAAGGCTTGGTATCTTGTGAGATGTTTTGATTAAGTCAACCTACAACTGCTGTTTTGTGTGCTTGGATTTTAAATTTGTAGGTCGACTCTGGTCCTTAAACTTTGTTGCAAAAAAAAAAAAAAAAAAGCCCAGCATCCCATCGTGGGCGAGATGCACCCAGGTCGCTCCCAGTGCCGCTGCACGGACATCTTCTCCACATCCAGTGCCTTTCTGCAGCCTCTCTCACGTGACCACGTATCTGCTAAATCAAGGCCTCACACAGTCACTGAGAAACAAAATGTCCCCATTCTGGACTCTACCTGACCAACACTTACCCTCTTCATATACCAACTTTGCATTCTGTTCAGGAGAAGCCATCTCCTTCGCTTTCTCCGAAGCTGTGACCTGAAAGACCACACAGTGCCATTAGGAAGCGTGGTAAGCACCAGCCACCTGTCTCCCACCTTCCAACCTTGCAATCAATGACCTTAATACAGTGTGGATTATGCATACAATAAAAGTGCTTCAAATAAAGAAAGAACTAACTCTGTGAAGCTGGAAAGCTCTTTGTGCACCTTGCTCACAGTCATGTGCCAGTCTATGACAGCGGCAATGGAACTGTGGGGACACTGGGTCTTAGGTGAAACAGACACTCCTCCCAGCTGTCGCTGTTCAAGGTAACCACTCAGCACTCTCCCTCCCTTCCAATCACTCCCACAAGCTGGACTTCCTGCTCACCTGCGTGATGAGAAGGATAAGCTTCCCATGAAGGTGTGAAAGTTTCTGAAAAGTTTTGACTCTGCTTTCCATGAGCTGATAGAGTGTTCCCAGCTGGGGTACCAGGTCAGGTAACTAAGAAGAAAGGTCATTTGATACCATCATCACACTCAAGAAACCACCACGCAAATCCTGCCCAGATCTGTCTCCGGGCCAGCCACTGCACCGCATGCACTATTCACGAGTACTTTCAACAACTTGTGCTGTGGCAGAGCCCAGCAAAAGAATGCATGTCGACTTTTATGGAAGGCCCTTACCACAACAGAAAGAAACAGCAACTTTCAAATAATCTGATACAAAGTCAGCAGCGAGGACTCACAAAATAGGACAAAATGCAGGGTAGACCCATCTTGTGCTAGTAATCACGTCAGATAAGGTCAATACAAAATAGACAGTAAAGAAAACCCTGCCACACCTCTGCAAGGTGAAGAGGACTTTCCTCTGAATGTTCCCCCGACAGAAGCCGTTAGCATGAGCTCCAGCCAGCTAGAGGAAACACTGCCCAGATCCCAGAGATCAGGGAGACACACACGCAATCCCGCATCCTGTTATTGCACCTGGGAAAGCAGAATGAGACCTGGGCGCAAGTCCCAGTGGAAGCTCCTGGCTCGAGACGAGCCCAGCTCCAGCCGCCACAGCAATTTAAAGAGTGAACCAGCAGATGGGAGATCTGTTTCTCCTGTCTGTATAACTCTGCCTTTCAAATAAATAAAAAGGAATCTTAAGGGGGGGGGGGAGAAAAACTTACCGTGGACAGGTACGATGCATGAATCGTTAATACACACTTCAGCCACTGAACCATTAATACAGCACTGGAAAAAAAGAAAACATTACCAATGTAAATTAACATTGCCAATTCAAAGCTAAATGTAACTAAATCAGAAAAATCCAAAATGAAGGAACTGTGCTGAGAAGATGGCTACAATAAATTAGTCTCTGTGCATTTTAAGGTGTGTTCATGAACATTCCATCTCTGACTGTGAATATGGCTGGAAAACAGGATGAGAATGCCTCCCTTCAGAACAGCTCAAACCCAAATCTTGAGCCTTACTTCCTAACTGAGGTCAAAGCAATAATCTTCCAGTCAAGCTAACCATGCATTCTAAGGTCACGATACTTGAACCCATCAACTCATTCAATCAGGAAACAAGCAACAAAGTCTTTTATGACCTTTAATGACCAAAGACATGAAAACCAGGCCTATTACACAGCCTAGTTAGTTTTTCTCTTGTCGGGAGCTCAGAAGGCTAATAACTTAAGTAAGAAAGACCACTATCACAGACAATAATATTCTGTAAGCTTAGGATCTTTCAGACTTAAACTTTGTATTTAATGCTTATCCAAATTTAGAATAAAGGTCCACAAAATTTAGTCTTAGCTAATATACTTCTTCGTTATCTTAACACAGGTACCAAAGGTTGGGTAAATTCCGTAAATAGCAATTTTATACATAATAATTAAGACAAAATTAAGTAGGACTAATCCATTTAATGATCTCATAAAACATATATTTTCAAAAAGAAAAGCTATTGAAATCCAGGAAGAGATAATATCTGACACTTATGACCATCTGGGGCCACCTATGAGTTAATGTCACACTGTGAGACTTTCAATAGTCACTTTTAATCTATTTACAAACAAAGCAACTGAAGGCGCCGAAATATCTTACCTATTAGGGTGTCCTTGCAATCTCTTTGTAAGCTGAGGGGGAAAAAAAACACTGTTAGCCATCCATGCATGTCAGATTTAGCCATTTCTGTCAATTCCCAGAACACAAGGATCATATTCAGAAGTATTATTACATTTACTAGTCTAGTTTAGTCCAGTAACATACTCTGAACATGTTCCACAGCGATAAAAATAACCCAATAAACATCTAAGCTAGCACTAACACGAATCAATGTTGAGAACCAGCAAATCCAGAGACAAAACAGATGAATGGCTTCTAGCAGCTGGGGAGGGGAGTTTCCTTAAAGGAAGTAATGATGGGAAATTAAATTCAGTATATGGTACACCCCAATGAGCTGGTGCCAACAATGGCTTCAAATCTGGGATCTCATTGATTGGGGGTTCCTGGGCCCCACACTCTGGGACTACTTTCCTGTCTTAGCTGCTACCCAATCCATTACACTGTTCAGCTGGATTATACACAGAGACAAAACTTCTACATGTGAGAAATGCTCAAGTTTACTTGGGCACAGGCCAAAGGCTGGGGAACCCTAGTGACCAAGGAAATTTTATACTAGCAGACATACAGATTAACAGCTTGTGTAAAATAAAGAAATGCAAAATGTAAAAAATAGCTTCATATTAAGTTCAGTTAGCTTACAGGATGAAGTAGGAAAAACAAAAATAAGAACAAAGGAGCTACATGTAATAACTTACAGTCCCAAATACTTCCAAGCTAGACACCTGCCCTCGATGGGATACAAAGGCACAAACGCTGACGACATGCTTCAAGGATTCACTCAATTCACTCTCCTAGAGCTATCCACTTATCACTCCTCTCCGTCCTTACATCTTGCAAGCCCATCTCTAAACACTAGTCTTCTTAAGGCACAGCATTAGGACTTCAAAGTTAAAACAAGCAGTTACCTCTTGCAACAATGGAACAACAGCATGCAAGGGCATCCTTAACACAGTCTTCTTTATTAGGTTTAAATTCCTAGTTTGAAGTACTTTCTGTGAGAAAATAAAATGATTATCAAGATGAGCATACTCACAAGCTAACGGTACTACAGAAGAAACTGTAACAATGACTTAAAATAGACTGAGGCTATGAACTAGCCACTGAATTTAGCAAACGGAAGCTGGAGGAACCGAGTGAAGAATGCACATCAAATCCTAGTTAGCTATCTGGACATTCATTTATTTATTAGTTTTTATATTAAGCACAGAAAAACAACTCTAGGTGTTTTAGCATCAATTTCTAACAAAATTTAAGATCAAACACAATCCCATTAAGAGGGCTTCAAACTCCTCAGGGATGGCCAGACAGAGAAGCCCTGTCTCCCTAGCGTCCGGAGCAGAGAAAACAGAGTTGGTCACCCCAGCTCAAGCCTTGGAAGCTGCTTCCTCGTGGCAGGGGTTCCCACCAGCTGAGTTCTTCCAGGTCTCCCACACCGCGTGCTCTCAAATACTGGAAATAGTACTTACTTCCAAAGGGCTACTATAGCCTGCCCTCAGTGCCCATGCACACTGTGGTGCTGCTGCTATCCTTACACTCTAAGTCATGCTCAGAGGACAAATGACAGATGTACTCAAACTGCAAAAGACAGCAAGCTGGTTTCCAACCTATTTTAACATTCCCTAGCGATCTTTTCAGAATTCCCCATAAATTTGCTTATAAAATTACCTTTACATCAAACCCTTCTAAATCCATCAAGTACTATTTTAAAACTATCACCTACATAATTAATTTCTTGTGCAAAGGAGAGGAACACTTTAAAATCACTGGAGAGCTGAGGGATGGACTGCCTTGACTTCCGTTTCAATTAACCTAAATATTCATTTTCCTAAAACCAGAATGTAAGATTCAAAGCCAAATATACTGATCATATCAACAATTCAGACATTAAGTATTACTTGATGATAGTTAAGTATTCCTCAAATCACATATACCAATTGTCACAAAGTTTCCGTGACATGTTGGAAAGCCAGAGGACACAAACTGTGTGAACTGGTCTACAATTTGAGATATAACATATCGTGTTGTATTTCAATTTTCCTAAGATATTCACCCAAACCACCAGGCATAATTATCTTAAATGGTCAAGTACAGTAGCAGCACTTCAGGTCAAAGGAAGCATCAGCCTTGAATATGCTGCTCCATCAGTCACACCAGGGTTAGCTAAGAAACAGTGGGAGACTGAGGACAAGATACAAGACCAAGAAAAGAAATGAGTTATGCTATCTACCTGTGTTCTACATATAGAGGAGTGGTCGTACAATTTGTTGCCAAAATGAGGACACTGCAGTGATGGAAAGGGATCACCATTAACAACTACACTAAGAGTTGTGAACCAGAACTATCACAGGCAAGTGACTGAACATGTTCTAATTGTTTTGAGGCTGTTACAACTACAAGTAAAAAGAACTTTTAACTAGCTCTTGTACACTTCCTAAGTCCAATAAAGAAGTTCTATGGTTATAATTTTTAAATAAGATAAGCAAATAAAAAATAAGTTGCTCTAAACTAACCAACATAACAGAGGAATCAGCATCATTAACTTCTTCAAACGAAGAACAATCTCTGTAAATCACAGTTGCCAACTACCACAGATGATATGAAAAACATTCTTAGAAAACTCTACCGTAGCAAACTGCTGTATAACAGAAAATATTTAAAGCACATTATCTGATTAGGCAGACAAACACACTTGTATCCATAAAACAAACATCATAAAAAAGGAAGTATTCTAGAGGCCAGCACTGTGGTTTTTACTTAGGTGAAAAATGGCCCAGTATTCAAGACACTACACCCACGTCGGAGACATGGAAGAAACTGGGCTCCCGGCTTCACTCTAGCTCAGCCCTGGCCACTGCAACCATTTGAGAGTGAACCAATGGATGCAAGATATCTCTTTCCCCCTTCTCTCATACTCTCCAGCTCTGCCTTTCAAATTGAAAAAAGAAAAAGTAAATACTCTAGTGACACTGGATTTGGGCTGCTTAACAATCCTTCCACTCCCATTTCTAGACAGCCAATGAACCAGACACCGACTCATGTTTTGTAGAATTACAATAGAGGTCATACAGTACTGTCTTGTTGGTAACTTTTGAAACTAGGTTAAGCTATTCATGGTATTCCACTGTACTACTTTAATTTTTAAAATGTTTTGTAATAAAAATGAAAAAAAAAAAAAAAAAAAAACTGGTACCAGATTCATTTGTACCTACCGAGGAAAGGTTTAAAGTATAGTTACATAGAAAATGACACATGACATATTACATGACGTTCCACAAACACCAGTTGTTTAATGCCTCCCTTCCCCTACCTCCACTGAGGCTTCTATGCCCTGACACACTAAAATCCACCTCCCAAAACATACTAAATACCAAACCGTTGTAATGTAATTTTGAGCTTCTAGACTTGCTGGCTTTTTCCTCTCATTTTTCCAAATCATCTTAGACATAAACATAAATGTAAAATTCTAAGGTCAAATAAGACACATACAGTGTCTGAAATCTTGATATTGCTACATCAAGAGAGTAAATGTAAGCTGCTTTCATATGACCAACAGGGCTTAAATCCAACCGCCCCTCATATTTAGTTTTTCATATGTAGGACATTGTCAAAATGTGCAATTTAAGGGAACCAAATGAAGTAACTTCATACAAGCAGTCACCAACTTACACATAAAATCTGTCTCTGCTCATTTAAAGTGTCAAGTAATTTTATCTCTAAGTATGTCACAACATAACCCCCAACCCTCTTGAACTTTTCCCCAAAACCTCCTACCCATTGCCAAGGTTCCACCTCACCGCCCCCTCTCACGGCCAGGGGGGGAAATAAGTTTCTGGAATCCAGAGTAAAAACTCAGGAACGCATTTTCCTACAGAAAAAAATATAAATTGTGATCTAGAATGCTGAGTATTATAGATGAGCTATGCTATGTTCATAAGGCTTTGGTGAACTCAGAGCAAGCCTAACGATTCACAACCATATTTCTATGAGAAAATGCATTCCAGGTTCACAAGAATTCAACATAAGCCCTTTGTAGGTTGGTGACTGTCTGTATAATGCCACCATGTGATAGACATTTGACTAAATTCAATTTCAAACACTAAATAACATGACTAATCATTCACTGAACGTGCTATGCCAATCACTAAGAGAAATTAAGCAACTTAATTCATTTACAACTGCTATAACACTTACATTTAGCATTTCGAAGTCATTGCTTTCTAGCCCCTGTGTGAGGAGAACTGGGAAGCTGGTCGTCTGCAGGTCCTCCTTTCCCTTTTTCGTATCTATATCCAGGGCTCCCAGACGCTCTTCTATGCTAACCTGCAGAGCAGAAATACATGTTCTGTTCAACAGACAGGTTTGAAGCAACAAAGTCTGATTCACACCTCAACTCTGAAAAATCCAAATATGCCTACTCCCATTCAAGCAGAATCTCATTCCCATAACGCCAATGCTGGAGATCAGTGAGAACCTCTGCAGCCCAGATTTCTAGATTGCCATCACCAACCCACAACAAAATAGCTTCCCAAGAGGCACACAACTGGAAAACTCCTCCGCAGAAAGATCAAGGAAAAGCTGTGGGTAGGGGTGAGGGGGAATAGCACTGGGGCCCAGCAGGTCAAGCCACTCTGGGACGTCCCAATCCAAGATCAAATGCCAGGTCAAGTTCCAGGTCCTCTCCTGATCCTATTTCCTGCTGCTGTGTCCTAGAAAACAATCAGGTGATGACTCAAGGGCAGAGGCCCAGGGTCACCCACAAGGGAGACACAGACAGTCCTCAGCTTGTCTCAGCCCTGACATTTGCAGGCATTTAGGAAATAAGTCAGCAGACAGAAGATTTAAATGTTTATCTGTTACTGTGCCTTTCAAGTACATGAAAATAAAATTTCAAAAAACACTTAGAGTAGGCACAGCATGGTAGCACAGAGGCTGAAGTCCTCGCCTTGCATGTGCCAGAAGCACATGTGGATGCTGGTTCATGTCCTGGCTGCCACTTTCCATCCAGCTCCCTGCTTGTGGCCTGGGAAAACAGCACTGGATGGCCCAAAGCCTTGGGACCCTGCACCCACGTGGGAGACCTGAAAGAAGTTCCTGGCTTCGGATCAGCTCAGTTCTGGCCATTTGGCCACTTGTGGAGTGAACAAATGGGCAAAAGATCTGTCTCTCTTCCTCTCTGTAAAAAAACCCACAAATATAAATAAGAACACGGCACATGATTACCAAAGACATATTATCACAGAAGCTCTCCCCACCTGAACTAGCCCTTGGCATCAACCTTAGCTGTCTAAAGGAAAACAATATCAAGAGTTTGGAAGATATGACCCCCCCTCAAAAATTACTGAAAAATTTATTTATTTATAAGATTTGTTTTTATTGTAAAGGCATATCAGATTCTCATTCACTGGTTCACTCCCCAAATGGGCGCAACAGCCAGAGCTGAGCAAGAGCTTCTTCTGGATCTCCCACACAGGTACAGGGTCCAGGGTTTTGGGCCATTGTCTGCCGCTTTCCCAGGCCATAAGCTGGAAGCCAGATGGAAAGTGGAGCAACAGGACATGCACTGGCACCCATATGGTATCCCAGCACTTGGAGATGGAGGATTAGTCAATTAAGCTATTATACCAGTCCTCCCCCTCAAAAAGCATAATTTCTGAAACACCTTATTAGTGACCTATAAAATGGATAATTTTCAAAGTATCCCTGATAAACACTTAATATTTAATTGTATTTCACAATGGCCAAGATATGGAACCAAGGAGTGAATAGATACAGAAAATATAGTTTATTTGATGGAATATTATTCAGCCATCAAAAATGGAATTCTGTCAAAATGCAGCAACAAGGACCTCTTGAATAACATGTTAAATGAAATCCGTAGAGTTGGTCTCAGAGAAGTGAACAGCAAAACATGGCTACAGAACAACATGGCTGGGGGAGGAGGGTGGTGGGAAAGACATGGCTACAAAACCACAATCAGAAAGCAGGAACAGGTCCTAACATCCACCTCAGCAGGTAGCCATGCTCCGCACGCACTTGCCAATCGCTGTAAGCCAGCATGTTAACTTTTACCATAGAGAAATGAAAATCAGTATCTTCTGTTGCCCATGAAGCTGACCACCCTGATTTGGTTTACACGTACTGAAACATCACACTGTATACACCACGAATGTTCAATTATGATGAGTCGGTTAGAAGCAAAAATTTTAGCGTCCTAACATATTTTATGTATAAATAAATGTCATAGCATTTGCAGTATGAAATTCAAATTGTAGAGAACTGATTCTGGAATAAAGCAAACAGACCAAGCCAGCTGCTGGAGGACTAAGCAACACAATAACCTGTTCTATGACTAATAATGGACAGATGTGTGTGGGTGAAAGCCCAAATGTGAGTTACCCTAACATATGAAAAAACAAAACTTGTTAACTTGCTTTAAAAAAGGAAAGGAGGAAAAAAAAAAAACAAGAAAGGAGATTAGAGTGCACACTCTAGCCTAAGTTAAATAGATTTGACACCTTATTTTTAAGTCAGATAGCTCATAATTGAAGGATAATTTTCCTGAGCAGCTATGTTATCCACCAATCTCACCATCACCACCAAAACTGCAAGACATTTACAATTCATTGTGAAGAAGCAGCATCTTTCTGTGAGGATAAAACAGCCAAAATCCTTGAAGCCTTGAATGGAGGGGCACAGAGCACCCGGCAGAGAGAAATGCAGGTCAACCCCAACCAGGACTATAGGAAGGCGAGCAAAATGACAGGGCTACCACTTTTTTTTTCATTAAAATGTATATATTTCTTCTATTTGAAAGCCAGTCATCCTTCAGTCTGGTTCACTCCCCAAATGGCCGCAACAGTCAGACGGACCTAACCTGATCCAAAGCCAGCAGCTTCTCCTGGATCTTCCACACTGATCCAGGGGCCATCTTCTGTTGGCTTCCCAGGCCATAAGCAGAGAGCTGGATGGGAAATGCAGCAGCAAGGATGCCAAACATCGCCTATATGAGCTGCAAGCCGTTCAAGCAAAAGATTACTGTGCTATACCACTGTGCCAGCTCCCAGGGCCTACTCTAGACCAGGCAGGACTGCTCAGACAGCCAAGAGAGGACGCATCACTGAGGGTCAGCAAATTGCGAAACCCAATGGAGTCATCACAGCAAGTCCTGGCTCACTTCATTCAGCCACACTGCATCCAGCTAACGGTTAACAAATGGCTCCAAAGCACCCTCATCGACTAATGAAAGTTTCATGTACTCAATGTATGGGATAGAGGCCCAATGTTTTATGAAAGTGACAATCTGGAATTTGGGGATCCACAAAGAAATACACACGGATTAAAAATGTTTCGCTTCTAAATAAACAGTTTTTAATCCCCTTCCTCCACCAATTGTTTGACTGCCTCTCCAACAGGCTGCAAAGCACGCAGCAGCAAGCTTGGCAAATCTCTCAGCACTCGACTCTGCAGCATCCTCCTGAGTTTCTCCCAAGTTACCTTCAGTCACAAGACCAGGATCTGTACGAAGCAGATGCCTTACCTCATTGCCTCCCGACTTCCTCTTGCTCTCCTTTCCCTCAGCTGGTGGAGGAGCAGGCTTGATGGCCGCATGATGTCCAGGAAGTCCTGGCACCAGAACTTTTGCCTCTGCATTCATTACTGGGGTCCTCACCTGTCACACAGGAATGGCAGAAGGTAGAAAAGGAAACCACGAGGCCTCAGGCATCCCCAACCACCAAATAAACAGCTTCACAAGGCCTTCCTGAGAGTTGGCAAATAAACTGTTACATGATAATCTGAATGTTCAGTGCTTTAAAGCTTGCACCACCACCTAAAAATACAAACCCCACAGATTACTCCTGGTTCTAGAACACTTAAAGGAAGCTGAACTTTGCCCGACATGCTCAGACAGCCAAGAGAAGAGGTGTCATCTCTGAAACTCAGCCAGACGCGAAACCATATGGACGTCATCACAGCATATCATGGCTTTCTCTTCCTCATGGAACCGCCAAGTACCATGGCTCCCACACATAAGCACCATGCTAAATCCAAAACAGAGCATCAGACACCCCGTGTACGGTGCCAAACGCCAGCCCCACACAGCATTCCTCTCAACAAAGCCACATCCCTCTGAGTATGGAGACTCATAAGGTTGTTTGTGTACAAATTCGATGTGCTGTTTATTCCTGTATACTTCCTTGCCCAGAGTTCTGGAGGATGGGCAGGGAAGACCTAAATTCAAGGTCTTCAGCTGCTAATTACCCATCTACTTACCCATTTAACAAACAAAGAGTATAGAAACAAAGCTTCATGATCTTAACATCAAAGACCAGAATCCTTAGGAGGATTTGTATGAATATACTCACCTTCGTTATGGCCGTTTCTACTTTTGGGGCCCAGCAATTTGAAATATCCCTTATTAAACACATATGATTCTCTTTGGAGGTCAAAGCCTGTGAATATATATTTTTAAAAGGGAGAGTGGGGGAAAAAAAGATAAGATGCCTGGAAATCAGAACAAAAGCAAATGGCTATGCTTTTTAATAAAACTCTCACTCAGGTGGCAGGTGAGGAGTGAACTACATACAGAGACCCTGGGTGCAGTGGAGCCTTTGCTCAGGTAGGAATTGCTCAGATTTTTCATAGTTATTACAAGACCAAGTGACTTTTTAAAACACAAGAAAACTTTTAAAAAAAGCATTTGTTCATCACCCTATTAAAGAGTAATGCATACTCAATCCTACCTTAAAATGTGTCACCCTTCCTATAGCAAATCAAAGATGAGGCAATACTGCTGCACAGCCTAACAGGCTCTGGGGGCGGGAGACACGTTGCACCCAGTACCAATACAGGTTTATAGTCACTTGTCATTGCACATGCTCATGGACAGTAACTGTCTGGGATTTGACATGGTAACAGATAACAGTGGCTGCATCCAGAGAGATGGCAAGGATGCCTATTTCCAATGTCATACTTTTCTCCTCTATTAATTAAATCATATGCAGACTAAAAGTTTGCTGTTTTGCTTTTACAGAAATTCACCTAGTACTTGCACTTAATATTCTACTCATGGCCTCATATTACTAAGCTGTCACATTAAGTTACAAAAATTAAAGATAAATCACCTGTTGGACAAGCCTTCAAAGAAAGTTCTGCAGCAAAAACTGCTAAGTCACTACACTGCCAAAACTTTTCCACAGAAACTTCAACAGTTGCTATCACTAAGGGCTCTTCTTCTTTGTGTAACTGGGCTAGGAATGTGCCAATACTGAGAACTTCAAACGTAAAGATTAACTGCACACAAGGTTTTCAAGAAGTAAGGGAGACCTGGAGGACAAAAATGAGCATGTGACTCACACATTCTTCTGATCTAGAATAATGCTTTATACCTGGCCATTTCATGGCTCCTAAATGACCCTTGGCTAAGCACATATTGATGCTGTGGGGGTTAGTTCAGAGTAGCATCTACGTACCAGTCTCTCAATAGCAGGCTGAAACCAGTTGCCATATACAAGCAACAATGACGTTTTGTCTGAGCAAAACCCAGCTGCAATAATAGGAATGGGTTTTGGTGTTGATTTCTTGCTTTTACCAGGTGTTGCTATCTGAATTGTGCAGTTTGACGTCAGAGGCTTTTTGCAGTACCTACGAATAAAGGGAAAAGTTAAAATTAGAAAATCTGAAATGGCACCTCTTATTCAAATCTCTGACATCACAAAGTGTAGCCCTCCTCCAGGTTGCGTGCCACCAGCAGTATGGCACAGAACCCCCCGCAAGACTACAAGTGTTCAAGACTTCACCAACCCCGACCACATCCAAAACTTCACCAGGCTCAGCCTTAGCCCCACATGCCTCACCGCATCATTCTATCGGGCCCCAAAGAGGCCCTGAACGCCGGTTATCTCTCATAGCCCTATTCTTCACCCCCTCTAAGTTTTGCGCATGTTCTAGCCCAACAAGCCCTGGTTTCACGGCTCTCTATTCCCAACAGGTACACCATCAATCCTTAACACAGTTCTAGTGGAGACACTGGCCACATGTCAGCTCCTGGGCTCTCCTACCCTTCTTGCTGGTCCCTGCCTCATCCCTACAGCCCCCAAAGGTGGTTCTTCTGACACACCTGTGGTGCCAGGAGCCTCTGACATAATTCATGTGTGCTTGCTGTTCCTCACCAATCCACAGACCATAATTTGTAGCCTGATCTCTACAACTTTTGAACTGCTACTAGTTACTAGCTACTTCTCCCCTACCAATATCCAATCATATCTGAATGACTCTCCTACATTTCTCAACTATTCCTCAAAAGGGGTTTTCATACCCAGCATCAAAGTCAACAATGTTTCTAATGGAACAATCTGGTCACTGAGTCCCTATCTCCTACTGATCACGCGCACCACACGGGATGACCAAACAGAACCACTTATTTCCATCCACTTTAAGCAACCCACCATCCCTCTTTATAACTCACTATCCTGATTCCACAATTAACCTTAAATCCAGGATATGGGTCCCTGCTTTGGTCTTCACTCATTTGAGGTCTATTATCAACTTGTCAAAAGGAATCAGTATCTTAAAGCTGGGCATACTCCATCAATCCTCAGCTTAAAATCTGTCAGTGGCTTATATGATCCAAGAAGCACCAAGCACTCAGGAGGCCCATATTTCTGGTCCCTAGTTCTTCAGAGTCTCATGTATCAATGTAAACAAAAGCCCAAAGTGTTATACACAAAAAAGCCAAAAACTGCCTCCTCGAATCCAATGGAGACAAATTCAAACTTGGGCCAGTGCTGTAGCTCAGAAGGTTGAGCCACTATGTTCAACACAGGCATCCCACGAGTACTGGTTAAACTCTGGGCTATTCTACATCTTCTATAGCTCCATGCTAATGCACGAGAGAAAGCAGCAGAAGATGGTTCAGGTACTTGAGCCCCTGCACCCAGATGGGAGTTATGTGAATGAAGTTCTAGGCTCCAGACTTAGGCCCAGCCCAGCTCTGGTCACTGTGATCATATGGACAGTAAACCAGTGGATGGGAAATATCTGTAACTACTCTTGTCAAATATTTAAAGCAGAAATAAAACCACCCGCAGCCACAGGCAACATCTTAGGTTGCCTTTTACCTGGGCAAGTGTTACATAACTGGGAGAAAAGCAGCCAATAGCTGGTGGGCATCCTGCCACCTGCAAAATTTGTTAATTATACTGGTGTGTCAGCATAACTGCCTATTCCATTTTTTTTTATTTTGTTCATTATTTATTTCTTAAAGATATATGGGGGGATCTGGTGCCACAGGCCCCCAGCCCAGCTCAGACTGGCCCATTTTATGAGTGCCATTTGGCACTAGGCACCCCATGCATTCCTGGACGCAGGGCCGGTGGACTGACCACAAAAAGAGGCAAGGGAATGTGTGGGAGGAAAGGCCGCTGAGGGAGTTTGTTGCAGGTGAGGGATGACTTCCATCGACAAGGCCACTTGTTGCTTGACTGTGGAACGCAAGTGTCAGAACTGGGCCTCCTCAGTGCCTCAGACAGAGTAAAGGATGGAGGATATGGCAGTCCACTAGGGCCTGCAGGAGACATCTATGTGGTACCACAGCAGAGGATAGAGGGCAAAATGAATTGGTCAACTACTCTAGCAAGCACTAACAGCAAATATCTGGGTGGCTGGAGATGCTAAGTTGGAATATGTCAGCTAATGGACCTGGGCTGGGAAGGATTTTTCATCCTTGAATCTGTGAGATTGACAGCATTTCAGAACTATGAAAACCACCTGAGCAGAACCCTCGGAGCATGCTCCACACTGGGGACCCTGGGATGACATCTGGTTCCCCATCCCTGGGTATTGAGGTGGTTGGGAGGCTGGGTGCGACTTTTCCCCTTATCTCTCTTCTTCCAAAGACACGGGAAGATCTGGAAACAATGGTCTCACTCACTTCCCCTTATCCTCTACCCTTCCCACCCTAACCAACCATGTAAACATCATCAAAAATAAAATTAAATAGTATCTAAAACTAAGTAACAGAATGGATATTTGATGTAACATTTCATATGCTACTTGATCAGTGCTGGATTCAAGTTCTGCCTCCACTTTCCGACCAGATTCCCATTCTTACATTCCTCCAGTAAGTAGGGCCCTGCCAGCCATTGGGAGACCACTGGCTGAGTCCCCGATTCTGGCCTTCAACTCAGGCCAGCCCCAGATGTCACAGGCAGCTGAGGGACTGAACCAGCAGACAGCAAACCTGTCTCTATCACTAAGAATTGTTTAAATAATAAAAATAAGCATATAATACTTTCATAGTTCATATTTAAATAACCTTATACTAGTATTCTAAAATAAGGGATATGAACAGACAATGAAATACTAAAATTATTTTAACATTTAATACAAGTAAACACATATAACTCAGCCTAAGACCATGTTTCTAGTTTGCAAGATCAGATAAATTTTCTACAAAGGGCTACATGGTAACCATTTCAGGCATCTTGGACTCATTGGATTTGATTTGGCCAAGATCGTGGTTTAGTAAACCCTGGTGAAATACTCCAAAGAACTCATCCAACACATCTCCCTTTCTGCCCACGAAAACAACAGCATTGGCATGCTTCTGTCACCCAAGCACAGAAGCAAGGACTGGCAAAGCGTTGAATCTCCACACAAGGCACTGTCCTTGAAATGTGTAAACAGAATCATCAACATTTACTAAGCATGCATAACTAGTCATTTCCCAACCATATGGTTACAAAATCACCCCTAACTCCAAAACCATCCATTCTTACTGAGACTGCACGTGTTCATATGGATGCATAAAGAATAAGGAATGCTTTTCAAACAATCTAATTGAATAACATAGGCAAAGATGATGAGGTAGGAATCTGAAATGAAACAGGAATGAAAGGGAAAGAAAAACGACTAATTAAAAAAAGCTTCTTACTTACCCATTTAATATGTGTTCAAAAAGATGGACTTGGCCATCTCTGCAAACAACAGCTAACTTGACAGGCTGCAAGACAAAGTAACTGATTAGTGAATTGTAGGCTTCAGCCCTCGGCCTAACTTGGGAAAATTCTACCTATTCTCCCTGCCCTGCCATAAAATAACCAAAGAGTAAGTTAAAACAGCAAAGAGGCATTTACAATAATTACCTCTGTCAAAGTAATAAACCTGTCTTTCAAATAAAAACAAATCTTAAAAAAAAAAAAAAGGCAATACAGTTGGAGCCAACAGGGCAGCACTGTGGGCTAATCCTCTGCCTGCGGTACCAACATCCAATATGTATGCCAGTTGAGGTCCAGCTGTGCCACTTCCCTGCTTATGGCCTGTACCCACATGAGACCTGCTTCTTGGCTTTGGACTGGCCCAGCTACTCTTTGCAGCCATCTGGAGAGTGAACCAATGGATGGAGGATCTCTGTCACTCCTTCTTTCCGAACAAAGTTCCTACCTACAAACCTGGCAACCTGGCCTGAAGGCACAACTCCTAAGGAGGCAGGACTACTGGAAAAGCCATCCAGCCTGGTAGATGGGAGTGAGAAGTGAGAAGTGAGAAGCCCTGCTCACCTCTCTTCCTCCCATCTACCTTCAATTCTAACAGCCTTCTTGGCTGGAGCTGCCCAGACATGGCACTTAATTCCTCCCTCTTGCCCCCAAGAGTTTGTGCAGCAACACTTTGAACTTTGTGAATGTTCCTTAAAGGAAGCTTAACTGAATAATCAGCACTTCCAAAAGTTACTAACCATCGCTGTAACATACAATTCTAATGGGAGAATTTAAGGAGTAGCCAATGAAAATAAAATACGTGAAAAGCTGAAGACTAACTTGGGGAGTTGCTGCTAAGGCACAGCAAGTTAAGCCACTGCCTGTGAGACTGGCATCTCTCATTGGAGCACCTGACCGTCAGCCTCCGGGCCACCTGAGGAAGTACTTGGACCGACCCCTGCCACCCAAGGTGAAGACCCGACTAGAGGTTAGGGTCCTGACTTTGGCTAGGCCAAGCCCATTTCTGTGGGCACTGGGGTGGTAACCCACAGGATGGGAAGGTCTCCCACTCACTGCCATTTTCTGCCTTTCCAATCAAGGACACTGTGAAAGCACTTCAGAGGCTCTAACAGGTAGTTATCCTGCACCAAGAAACAAAAATCTCAGCAAAGATGTTCTGAAATGCTAAATCCACCTCCAAAATGTGCTGCCTTCGTAGACAAAATATTCCTTCCCTCCTAGGAGGTTATCCGGGTGACGCAACAGTCCAATAGCCTTTTAAAAACTGTTACCTTTTATTGCTACTCCCTCATGTCTCCCCCTTCCTAGGTTGCTAAATCACCTGAACATCCAATAACATCAAACACAGCTTTATGAAACACAAAAGCAAATTCCTGAAAATGGAGTCATTACCTCTTCTTTGTTTTCTGACATGGTCAAGTCAATATAAACAGGCTCATCCGTAACTGTGAAAGACATCACTGCATTCTTCTCTTTGTTTTCTGACCGGACCTGCCTAGATAGTAAAACCAGCAATGAGATATCAAAACTCAAAAAAAAAAAAAACCCTAAATAAAGGCAAAGACCTTCAGGAGGAACCTCAGCATTGGATGAGCACCAGCTCATTCATGTTTTGACAGCTAATTGAGGTGACTATAGATCAAAGCAAGGGAACCATTCAGATGACGTCCAGACACATTTGTGGCACATCTAACCAATGAGCAGCACCCTCGACTCTCTCCATCCCTCTATTTGTCTAACTTGAAGCCAGCCAATCTTACATTTTCTTGACCGCCATATTTTGCTTGACAGAATGTCCTGAAATCAGACATTGTTAGTTCTCTTGTTTTTTTAATTTCCAAAATCATTTCAACTGTGATTTGTTATTTTCCATTTGAACTTCTGATTCAGTTTGTCATTTTCAAGAAAAAAGTCTGCTAGGTTTCTGACTTAACTATTGTACATGCTCATTCAGTCATGTACAGACCAGTGAAGATTTGTACCATGCTGTCTTCATTAGCGGTGATTTTTAAATTGCCCCAAGCATAGTGCTGAAGTATTAACGTTCTTAGGCACAAAAATGGGGTCATGTGCTTTATGGGGTATACAGCAAAAATGTGTCAGGTGAGTTTCTATCAGGCGGGAGGTACTGGCTATGACTTTAAAACCAGCGAAGCAATAGTGGTTGATTAGTCCGTCTTCGGTAGAGGTTTCAATGATTTATTTTGGGTTGAGGAACCCAGAAACACTTTGAATGTTAACAGAAGTTGATTTTTATTCCAGAAGGAATTAGTTACATATATCAGTTAACGTGCATGGGCTACACCTCCAAAGGCACAGCAGGCTCCCAGGTATTCTTAGTTCAGGAGCACAGTTAAGGTATAAAGAAACACACCTCACTGCGGAGCCCTCCACGTCAGCAGAATCAAAGGTTTCCCACAAAGATGTGTCTTCGCTGCACCTCTAAACCAATAGAAAGGCACTTCCATGGTATGACATTTGTAAGTCCTTCATTAGAAATTCATGTACTTCATGCAACAAAGCAGGTCTCATACTCATCACTTAGAGAACGGCTCTGACAGAGCCTCATCTCCCAAGCCCAAAAGAACTACATACCAGACGTTAAGTAACCGGTCGTGTACAGCTCCAGATAAGAAATAAAGACCGGTAATGCCATCGAAGGGCTGGCTCTCATTAGGAGGTCTGACGGTGGTGAACCTAAGCGATGACACTGGTGTGGCGTGGCCTGTGAAGTGCTGGAGGAAGGGAAGTCTCGTTTAGAGGAGAATGGACTCCAAACAGCGCAGGGGTTAGGACGCCCTACATACCACAAACATATTACAGACATCTGAAAACCAGGCTCCATGATGAAGCAAATTAAGCATGACTCTAAGGAGCTGAGATCATCTATGCTATAATCTGACTTTTTATCATATCGAGTTGAAAACACCGAAAATTAAATGTCCTCATGCCACCTCCATTTCTTTCATTTCTGAAATAAAGATCCACTTAATTCTACCCATGTCTGTGGGGTATGTGGGTGCTCAGACACAGCCAAGGAATTGTTGGTCCTCATTCTGCACTCAGTGAGTCGAAACCACAATTTAAAGGCATCATCACCGCACCAACACTTAGAAACCCCTGGGCACAACGGCTTACGACTCTTCAAAAAATGTACTAAAATTCACATTAAATATTGGAAAAAGACTAAATGCTGACTGCCAACAGGCAAGTGACCACAATCAAAGCACAGCAAAAGACTCTTACTTCACCTTCCATGTATTCGTTCATTTCTTCCTGCAGGTCAAGTAGACATATCGATTCTATCTTACATTAATACATCAGATTGGGAGTCAAAATGCAGTGTGCTTCAACAACCTGAATGTTTTACACTAATATGGCATGACACAAACGTTTGTTTTTCTCCAAGCTTCCTCTATGCAATTGGTAGGCTTACAAATAATTCGATTCACTCACTCTGTATATTTCTTTGGTCTCTAACACCCATAGTTTGATTGTTCGACCAGCAGAAAGCAACATCTTTCCATCTGGGCTGATTCGCAGGGAGCTGACGCTGCTGTTATCACCTTTCCACTTGCTGTAATGTGAACACAAGCAAAGCAACTTAACAAACAGGGAAATAACAGCAGAAAAAATCCTATGTTAACTGCATTCCCTACAAAGTTGGTGCCTGGGAACTGATCCCGGAGCTAGCAGTAAAGTGAAGCCTCCCCAATAGGGTGCTCTCAACATGGCATAGCAGGACAGGATAAAGATTCTCAAGAAGGATCAAGAAACAGAAGAGTCACAGGAAGTCACCTGCTAAAGTCATGCATCCTCCAACCCACAAATGGATGCAGTCAACACCCAGGCAGGATCACCTCAGCTGGAACTCCCACGCCAGCTCCAGTCCAGCTCCCTGACTGTGGCCTGGGAAAGCAGTCGAGAATGGCCCAAAGCCTTGGGACCCTGCACCCATGTGAGAGACCTGCAAGAAGCTCCTGGCTCTCGCTTCAGATCGGCTCAGCTCTGGCTGTCGCAGCCATGTGCAGAATGAACCAGCGAATGGATGTTCTGTCTGTCTCTCCTTTTCTCTGTGTAAAAATCTGCTTTTTAAATAAAAATAAATAAATCTTGAAGAAAAAGAGATGTCTGAGAAAGCATAGAATACAGGGGTCAGTGCAATAGCCAACAGGCTGATTCTCCACCTGCTGCAGCAATAGTCTATATGGGGGCTGGCTCAAGCTGCTGCTGCTCCAGTTCCTTGTTTATGCTTGGGAAAGCAGTGAAGGATGGTGCAAGTCCTTGGGCCCCTACACCCACATGGGAGAACCAGAAAGCAACTAGGGCTCCAGACTTCAAATTAGCTAAGCTCCCGCCACTGTGGCCATTTAGGGAGTGAACCAGCAGATGAGGACCCATCTCTCTGTTGCTCCTTCTTCCTCTTTAAAAATCTGCCTTTTAAATAAAAAGGTTTAGAAAAAAAAATGCAGAATACTAAAAATAATTTACACTATAAAGAAAAAAAATCTTCAAACTTCTTAGGGCAAAACTAATTTCAACTAAAAACTACATCCTCAAATCTGCAACCTACTACATTTGACCACCAGAACATATGAGAACAGCAGACTATGAGAACAGGATTACTTGTGAACCAAAACTCAAACTCGCCTCTCACACATTCTTTCTGAGGAAGGTAGTTACCAAGTACCATGCCCCACCCAGCAAAAAGGAGGGAGTAAATCACAAAGGGGATACTGGGAAAGGCAGCTCCACCTGCCAGCACATCCCTTCAGGATGATGGTGAAAAACCCCTAGGGCAATCACAGAGAAGCTTGCTAGAAAATAGAAAAGATCTGAGCACCTGTGTCTAAGAATATCTGAAGATTTTACTACCAATAATTACTGGTAAACATATACAAACCCAGGCAAATATAAAGCAGGGCAATTAAAACCCCTACCAAAAACAAAAAACTTGCACTGAAAAGAAAATATAAATTTTCTAGTCTTAGAATAGTCTGTGAGGATATTTAACTACTCAAAATGGCAATTCTTACTCAAACTTAATGAGTCCCATCCAAAACAGATTGGATCAAAATCAAGTGCTATTAGCAGATCATCTATGCACAAACTACTACTTCAGGTAACTGGTGCAAAGCTCACGAACCCCCCACCCAGACAGGTGACCTGCTCACCTGCACTTGTACCTCCAGCCCCAACCGCCCCTTAAATTCCAAGCATTTCTCACAGGGCTGCCTGCAGGGGTCTTGCCTTTCACTGGTCAATGCCAATTAAGCTCATCCAAAAGCCTCAAAACCCTGCCCCTCTTCCACCACTGTGTTAACTGGAGGATACACCATCTATCCTCTGCCACAAATTACCTCTCAGGATGCTCCTCCTCTAAATCCCTGCACTAATTCAGCTCCCTCAGGTCCCCTGCCATCTCCTCACCTTCCTCTGCACTGTCACTTCTTCCAGACCTTTCCAACACTACCCTACCCATGTGAGAAGTAATCACATACCACCTCAGGGCATCCCTGCACAGCAATTTACTCTTATACCATCATATAACTTTCATGTATCAAAACCTTGTGCATCCCACTGGATTAAAGGTTCCTTGAGAATAGGTTACAAACTAATATTCAATACTCTCAACTGTTTCCACCACAATTAACCAAACTCTAACACACTTCCCAACAGTAACTAACATCCCCACTACCAGGCAGCTGTCAATGCTACTCACCATTTTACTTTGCATGTCTGTACGTTCCATTCTACAATGTGTTTATCATCTGAACAACTATACAAACAGCCATTGTCTTGATGCCACTGTATGCAATTAACTCTGTTGTCATGACCACCACTCTGCAGATTAAAACAAAGCAACAATAAACAAAAAGTAAAATACACATAATATGAAGCTTAGAGTGGGTATCAGTTAACCATATTATCAGACCTCAACTAAGCTTTAAAAGCACACACACCTACATCCCTCCATTTTAGTTGTTCAATGTCAAAACTGAAATCAGCTAGTTATTTTCTACTATATTATATCAGCTATTAATTTTATATTCTCTATGGTAAAAATCTTCTACACCCTAAAAATGCTAGCTCTAAATGCCAGCTGCAAGTGTGACAAAATACTCTACAAAAATGACAAGTTTCACACTTGAGTGAACTACTGATTTCAAATAACAGAGTCTAAAAAATCAATGCTCAAGATAGAAATCAAATCTAGCAAATCTATCCTTGGAAATCTCTTTGAAAAGAAGTGCCAGGGGACAGATGACTGGCCTAGCAGGTGAGACTCCCTTTGGGACACCTGGACCCCATATCAAGAGTGCCTGGTTTTGAATCCTAGCAACACTACAAATTTGAGCTTCTGGATAAAACTCATCCTGAAAGTCAATTTTTTTAAAAGATGTATTTATTTTCATTGCAAAGTCCGATATACAGAGAGGAGGAGAGACAGAGAGGAAGATCTTCCATCCGATGATTCACTTCCCAGACAGCCGCAAAGGCCGGAGCTGAGCCAATCCAAAGCCAAGAGCCTAGAGCCTCTTCCAGGTCTCCCACCTAGGTGCAGGGTCCTAAAGCTTTGGACTGTCCTCGACTGCTTTCCCAGGCCACAGGCAGGGAGCTGGATGGGAAGTGGGGCGGCCAGGATCAGAACCAACACCCATATGAGAATCCCAGCTCATGCAGGAAGAGGACTTTAGCCACTAGGCCACCATGCTGGGCCCCAGAAAGTCAATCTGTAATAGCTCAAGAAACATGCCACTCACAGAGGAGACCAATACTGAGCTACAGGCTCCAAGCTTTAGCCTGGCCCAACCCCAGATGCTGCATGTACTGGGGGAGTGAACCAGTTCACGGGAGATACCTCTATTTCTTGAACAGATTTTTAAAATGTGTGTGTATGTATCTATGCAATAGAATTATGAAAAGGGAAAGTCAGAGAGAATTCTCCACCTGGTTCACTACCCACGTGGCTGCAGCCAAGGGCCAAAAGCTTTCTCAGGTTTCTCTCACAGGGAGCAGCACTCCAAACACTTGAGCCACCTTCCACTGCTTTTCCCAGACAGTGAGCTGGATCTAACATGGGGCAGTCGGGGCTTAAACTGGTGGCCAAATGGGATGCCAATAGAACAGAAGGCTATGCAATACCAGGCCCAATAAATTTGTTTCACAACACCAAACTCTCAAAAATGAAACCATAGACAGCCTTTGTTTTAGCTGGCATGCCTACCCTGAGATGTCTCCATCTCATAACCGAAGTACCTCACCTGAGTTCTGACTCCACTCCAAACTCCAGCTTCCTGCTAATGCCCACACTGGGAAGCAACAGGTTAATGGGTCAGACACCGGGTTCTCCAGCACCAATGTGGGAGACTTGGGTCAAATCCTTCACTTCTAACCTCAGCCCCACGTAGATCCTGCCATTGCAGCAATTTCAGGAATGAGCCAACAGAGAAGTTCGCCCTCCCTCAAACAAACACTGAATGAATAAATAGCAATTATAAAATGCTTTCAAAAAAGAAACCACTATGCTTTTTGAGAATGCTAAGTGCTTCCTTGGTCATGGATCATGCCTCGTGGACAACACTTTATATACGTCACAGAGAGATACTGGCTCTCCTGAAGCACACAGACACTTATGGAGCAACAAGTTAAGCCACCACGTGAGAAACCAACATTTCGTGATTTCCAATGAGTCCCAGCTGCTCTGCTTCTAATTCAGCTCCCTGGTAATGCACCTGGGAAATCAGCAGAGCAAGCCCTAAATGCTCAGGCCCCTCCCACCTACACGGGACACCCTGGTCTGTGGCCTGGTCCAGCTCTGACCGTGGGCATTTGGGATATGAACCAGCAAATCTGTCTCTTTGCCTTTCCGATAGAAAAGGAAAACAAATTAGTAAAAAATTAAAGAACTAGGTCCCATGTTGCACATACACAAGAACAGAAGAACTTTACAGAAAGAAAAAAAGTTCAAAAAAATTCAATCTTGGAGCTAGCAATGTGGCATTACAGGTAAGAATTGCTGATTGCATTAACAGTATCCTATATGGGCAATGGTTCATATCCCAGCCATGCCAGCTCTTCTCAGTTTCCTGCTAATGCCCTGGAAAGCAGCAGCAGATGGCCTGAGGATTGGTGGTCCTGTCACTCAAATGGAAAAGCTGAGTGAGGCTCCTGGTTCCTGGTTTAAGCCTGGCCCAGTCACTGCAGCCATCCAGCGAGCGAATCCATGGCGGAAAGATCTCATCTCTCTTCGTTTAACTCTCAAATAAATAAATGAATCTTTAGAAAAAAATTAAACCTTGCTATTCAGCAAAGAAACACAAACCAAAACAAACACAAACCAAAGTAGCACTTTTTAATCTGTTCATTTAGTAATTTGCTTACACACAGATTGTTCCTGCTGGTGAGGATACAGTAAGATTGTAAGCTGCACACTATCCAGCACTGCCAGAGCTGGGAGCGTAACCCTATCCTTTCAGATAGCAATCTGGCAAAGTGTCCATTAACTCACTCACCCACTCAACAAACATTTACTAAATAGCAAATGTATACAGTTTCAGTATCATATCTAAGTCTCAATAAAGTCATGCAAAATATGCTGTAGAACACCCCTCAAAGGATCACATAACCAGCAGGATTCAACCTCAGGACACACTAGTTCCAAAGCCTGGGCCCCTTCTATTTCACTCTTTCACACCAACACCCCTCACCCTCTCTAGGTTCCTTTTTGATAAATTCATGCCTCTTGAAGCAGGTACAATCCTGTGAAGTACTACAGTCCTCTAGCAGGGGGTTCTGGGCTCCTCAGCACACCACCACGTGGCACAGGATGCTGAGCACGACCAAGTGCAGAGGCCCACTCAAATGCAGAGCTCAGCTGAAGAACACATTAGACATGTAGAGCAGGAGAGCCAGATAAAAATGGACTCTCCTGGGCCTGGCATGCTGGTCTAGTGGCTAAAGTCCTCGCCTTGAACGCACCAGGATCCCATATGGTCGCCGGTTCTAATCCCTGCGGCCCCGCTTCCCATCCAGCTCCCTGCTCGTGGCCTGGGAGGGCAGCTGAGGATGGCCAAAGGCCTTGGGACCCTGCACCCACATGGGAGGCCTGGAGGAGCTCCTGGCTTCCTGGCTTCAGATCGGCACAGTACCTACCGGCCGTTGCGGTCACTTGGGACATGAATCATCAGACAAAAGATCTTTCTGTTGCAATAAAAATCAATAAATATCTGACTTTGCAATAAAAATCAATAAATCTTAAAAAAATGTGAATGAAATTATTTTTTAAAAATGAACTCTTCTAGCCATTTAGATCTAAGTGTTTCATACAGTTGGCAGTTCATTATTATTTGCAAAATTTTAATACGAAAACAAGGACTCTATATCTACATACAACGTCAAAATCAATTTCCCATCCACCAAATCAGCTGCTTTCTGTCACCACTGTCACTGCTGACCCAAGCACAAATTAGGGAAACATTTTGGGAAGTCTCTCTCATGTATTAAAAAAAACCCAACAATGAAAACCTTTACTCATTAACTACGACTTAGTTATTCTGGAAATCCTTAAGAAATTTTTTTACTGCTTCGCAAAAACCTGAAACTCTAAAAGGTCAATAGTAAGTATAAATGGACTACCCAAGTCAGTGGGGTTTTAGGCAGTCATTAAAATGGTTGCCATTAGTCTTGACAAATATGGGAAATACATTGAGGAAAAAATAATCAGAATACACCATAAACAGAACCAACTATTTTTCTCAAATCACACACAGAGCAAAGAGATTGTTTACACATGTCTTGGCAGGTTAGGCTATTCCTTCCTCTCCCCAACATTACATAGTGCCAAATTTTCTGAGATATTCTTTGTAACAGAAAGCATGTTTAATTCACATATCCAGAAAGCAGTGCTATACACAGGAGTTCAAGAGCAAAAACAGTGTTAACTAATAGTCTCTGAAACAAATTATGCCAGTTAACTGGGAACAGCAGCAGAAAATGGTCAAAGTGCTTGGGTCACTGCACCTGTGTGGGAAACCCAGCTGAAGCTCCTGGCTCTGGTGTCCATGGAGGTCATCTGGTGTGTAATATTTTCAAAATAAATCCTTAAAAAAAAAACTGTTCCCATATTCTCTCAAGGCAAAGCTGCCCTTCCCCACTCTGCTGCTGGTGCTGGGCTCTGCAGGCTGAGCCAGTTAGACATACTAGAGGGAGTTCTGGTTGCAGAGGAAACAAGGACTTCTTACCACCTGCCTCCTGGCTTCTAGCACCGCAGCAATGGTGCTCTGTACTCCAATGACTGCCATTCAATTAATATTCCTGCAACAGCTATATCCAACATGCATTTTTTCTATCACTGGGAGACCCTGTCTCAGAACTCCCATTGGACACAGTACCAGGCAGCTGCAGCCCTCCGTGGAGATCGGATCCCGGCCCCACACAGCTGCTCCACCTCCCGATACTGGGGGCAGCACAGCGGCAGCCAGCCGCCTCAGAAGGGCTGCCCTGGTGGGCTGCTCTCTATGCTACTGGGCCTTTTCAACTTGACACCAACTCAATACTCCCTCAGGCTCTGACCCACAAGACTGTACCTCCTGCATGGACTCCAGCACACACTGTCTAGATTTTCATTTTTAATGAGTTCTTACAGTCCTGTGTCTCCTTTTTGTATCTTTTACGTGAGATGGACACATATCTACTTACTGTTAATTTACTGTGCAATTCTCCTTTTACTGTACTGTATAGTAAGATACTTCCAACTGCTGTGCCAAGAGCCAACAAGTCCACCTGGTCACCTGTTCCTAAAGCTTCGGATTTCCTTTTTTTCCTCTGAGGACTTTCCTGAAAAAAGAAAACACAATGTTTTTATGTAGCATTTCAAACACGAATACATCATCAATGCATAGATACAAATGCCTACTGCCTTGCAACACCCACCTTCCAAAAGGGGCACGATCTAAGATGATGTCTATTACAAACGCAAATGACTACAACGGCCAGAGAGGCTGGTAATGCTCTGGCCAGCTCGCACACCTGCTGCCCTCTGGAAGGAAGGTGAAAACCAGCACAGCTTTGTGGCCCTGATGGCCCTGTCACAAGGCCAAACAGCCCTCTGACCCTGACCAATCCAGGGAAGTCTCGACTCCCCTGAGAGATCCGTACCCAGGCATCCTCCCCCGCTTGCTGGCTGCTCCCCCAAAATCCAAACCCCAAAGTGTCCAGGAAAAGAGACTAACAATTTTACATTCACAGAATCACCATTATAAACATGCATTAACTTCACACGTTAAATTCAAGTCCAATAGCTATGACTAGGAGAGCAGCAGAGGACACGCCCAAGGCTGCTCTGGGACCGACCAAGGGCTGGGCCGGCAGCTCTGCGCTGCAGGGGCGATTCCAACGGCTTCAGAGGCAAAGTTTCAATCTCACAGTAAATGCTACTGAACTTCAATGAATCATTTCAAAAGTGAACAATCTGCATCTGCTCAGCAAAAAGACAATCAATGGTCACAATGTGAAAGTACGTTACGTTCAGAAAGCTGGAAAGTTACATTACAGATCTTCACTTAAACATCTTTTTAAATTAGAGCTCATCAGCCTGTAGATTTTAGCATGAAGAAGCTCAGAGAAATCCTTTTAGTACAGGAGGAACATTCTTTATCCAAAAACCCTGGGATCAGTAGTATTCTGACTTTTTCAGATTTTTGGATCATATGTATATAAAAACAATGAGACATCTTAGGGCCAGAACCCATGTCTAAACACAAAATTCATTTATGCTTAGCATAATGTTATGTGTATGACTTTATGTACATTTTTAAAGATTTATTTATTTTTTGGAAAGTCAGAGATACAGAGAGGAGAGACAGAGAGGAAGATCTTCCGTCTGATGATTCACTCCCCAAGTGACCGCAACGGCCAATGCTATGCAGATCTGAAGCCAGGATTCAGGAACTTCTTCCGGGTCTCCCACACGGGTGCAGGGTCCCAAAGCTTTGGGCCATCCTCGACTGCTTTCCCAGGCCACAAGCAGGAAGCTGGATGGGAAGTGGAGCTGCCAGGATTAGAACCGGCACACATATGGGTTCCCAGCACGTTCAAGGCAAGGACTGTAGCCGCTAGGCCACACTGCCAGGCCCTATACAATATTTTTAGTGGCTGCGTTTTGACCACAACTCATTCCACAGAGTCAGGTATGCAGCTTTCCACTTGTCCGACTTGTCCAGACTCAAAACTTGCAGATTTTAGAGCATCTAGGACACAGGGATACACACAATGCTCAACCTGTACAAAGTAACCAACGCCACGGAAAAGGAAACACCTTTTAAGTGTGGTAAGATCACTGCTCTACCACACAGAAAAAGGAAAATCCTTCCTAAAAAAAATCGAACCAATCCAGGAACCACCAATGAGCACATAAATACCCCCATGTGTGTCAGTGCCTTTTCATCAGATCCATTTGAGCAACCTGATTCACTGGACAGCCAGGAGAACAGAAAGACTTACCCAAAGGATGTAAGTTTAAAGGAAAGAAAACACTGCAAATCCTTACAAATGTACCTACATAATAAGCTCAAAGAAGCTACATCTAAAAGGCCATGGTCTCATTAGTAACATTCAATTTGCTGAGAACACTGCAACCTTTGGCTGAGCAATGTCCTGGTCCCATCTTCAGATTTTGCAAGAGGTTTCTGCCCAAGCCAAGGTGGGTGGGTGCTGAAGTACATTCACCTCCTAACTCTGCTCAGAAAGATTCCAGCAGACAGTTCCTCCGTTCCTGGCTCCCAAAACCAAACTAACCACACACTGAGGCTTCTCAAAACATGAAAAAAGGCTGGTCCGAAATGTATGCTTTACCAAAGATCTTAACTTCCACTAAAAGGCAGAAAGAGGGCCCAGCTCCACAGCCTAGTGGCTAAAGTCCTTGCCTTGCATGCTCCAGATCCTATATGGGTGCTGGTGCCAGTTCGAATTCCGGCTGCACCACTTACCATCCAGCTCCCTGACTGTGGCCTAGGAAAGCAGTCGAGGATGGCCCAAAGCCTTGGGACCCTGCACCCAGGTGGGAGACCTGGAAGAAGCTCCTGGTTCCTGGCTTTGGATCCACTGAGGCCACTGGGGATTGAACCTGCAGACAGAAAATCTTTCCCCAACTCCCAAATTTTCCTATCTACAGATTCCTAACTATTTTTGTGGAAGTCAAGCAGAAGCAGTATCCACAGGACTTATATCCAACTTTGAGGATCACCAATCTAAGCCTAAATAATTCAACCACTTAGTCTAATCTCAAACAGCCCCATTCCTGGGCTCAGAAAGTTTTTCAAAATAACTTAGCAGGATAAGCATGTCCAAAAAGGGACCACTGTCACCATATCTGGGGTTGATACGGTGGACGTTCTTGTGAAGTAACAGCCCTTCCTAAGTACTTCTGAACCCAAGACTTGGGAGCTATGTTGATTACACACCATGACAGCCACTTGTTGGCAGTCTGAACCACACCACTCTTATGATCAAAAACACCAACCCCCCAGGGTAAACTCCACACAAACAGCTCTGTGATATGCAAAAGCATCCAAATTGGCCTTAACCCCGTTCTCCAGCCTTATCCTGGACTCTATGCGGACAACACATCCTCAACATGCAGGTATGTTTCCATTTTGCCCCTGCTTTTCCCATCACCTGTGGGGTTCTTTCACACTCACCTTTATTTTCACTGCTTAATAATCTTATCCACATTTCATGATGCACCTTAAATATCTCTACTGAAACCCCTTCTTTCTGTTAAGATACTCATTACAAACACAGTAAATCAGAATTGTCAAAATCTCTTCTGGTACATCTTAGTCACTTAGTTGCTTCCATGTAAGGGCCCAGCACAAGGTCACATGCACATTAATTATATTCAAACATGTAAGCACAAAGCAATATAAAAGGTAGGCTAAGAACTCAGCACATATATTTAGAATTAAAAAAAATTCTTGGGCTCAGCAATGATGGCTCAATTGCTCAACCCTCCACCTGCAAGTGCTGGGATCCCATACGGGCACCAGGTCTCCCAGCTGCTCCATTTCCCTTCAAGCTCCCTGCTTGCGGCTTGGGAAAGCAGTGGAGGTTAGCCCAAAGCTTGGGACACCCCCGTGAGAGACTCAGAACAAGTTCCAGGATTCTGGCCTTGGAGCAACTCAGCCCCAGCCACTAGGGCCATTTGGGGGAGTGAGCCAACGGATGGAAGATCTTTCCGTCTCTTGTTCTCTCCATAAATCTGTCTTTCCAATAAAAACAAATCTCAAAAACAAAAACAAATAAATCTCAGTTTCTGAAGGCAGAAAGAATAAAGACCTTAGGGTGTGACTTCTTACATGAGACTTCCCCAGCAGGCAGGGCAGCCTGAGCAAAGACACACCTGTCTGATGAAAGCCCATCAGCACTGGATCCACAAGTCACCAGAACCCTGAGGAAGTAGGAACAGCACAACTTAAGTTGGAAAATCAGATACAGAGAGAGGAGGAGAGACAGAGAGGAAGATCTTCCATCTGATAATTCACTCCCCAAGTGACCGCAACGGCCGGTGTTACACCGATCCGAAGCCAGGAGCCAGGAGCTCTTCTACATCTCCCACGTGGGTGCAGGATTCCAAGGCTTTGGGCCGTCCTCTACTGCTTTCCCAGGCCACAGGTAGGCAGCTAGATGGGAAGCGGGGCTGCCAAGATGATGAGGGGCAAAAGCAAAGAGTCTAGCCAGGAGATGAGAAGTCTGGGTTTGACCAGCAATGAGGCAGCACCCTTCCTGACCAACTCTGGAGTGAAGAGCTGACCTGCGCATGGACAGCCAGAGGACACTCCTAAGGAGATGAAGCCATAGCAGAACCGTCCCACAGGGAACAGTATTAACGCTGTCATAAGCCACTCGGCTCTACTTTACAATCAACTGATGAACCAAAACTACTTCTGAAAATTACTGATTTTTAGACACTGAAAATTATGCCCAAAATTTAAATTTCATCCTGTAAATAATTCCCATTTCATTTCTTAGCCCATCATGAACAAAATGTGTACATTTAACCTAAAATTACCAAGTGTTTAAGTTGAAACACTAAATTGTACTGCACCAAAACTTCTATTTCTGTCCCAGTGGATCCAGACAGCAACCTCGTACCTTAAGTTTAAGCATTGTAGGGACCGCAGGACAGCACATGCTCTGTAAGAAACGACCTGCGCACATCCAAGGATGGTCCATGCGAATACTCAGCCCAGGTTCTCCCTGGAAGCATCCTCCACGTGGCCACAATGAGCCTGCCTGTCTGGTGTCTGACAGGCCAAGGGCTCCCCACAACAGACCCTGCACCTGCTGGGCCCATCCTCACTGCAGCGATGGCAAAGCCGCCTGACAGTCACGGAGGCAGCTAGAACAGCCAGGGTCTCTGCCAGCAGGGCAGGAAGGAAGCTTTGGGTTTGTTTTTAAGTTTCAGAAATGTTAACAGAGGTAACAGAGCTGCAGGTCCACAGAGCTCAGCCACTGTCTGTGTGGCTCTGCTCTGTCATTTAACATCTCAACCCCAGTTTACACACAGAAACCCAAGCAATATCAGAAAGAGTTCATTCGTCTGTCCCCTGCGCCTTCCCATAGTACTTCCTGTCATGAACAGCAACCAAACAGAAAAATCAGCTGTACAAAAAGTGTGAAAATCCTCTAAACACAGCATTGTGGCTTAATACAGTAAAGTACTATAACCAGTCTGTGACTAAGGACAAGTACCAACCTAATTTTTCTAAGCATCTAGGTTTTGCTAACCCTAACCTGTTACCCAAATCACCCACCATGAACTCATCTTTCTCCGCTGACTGTAACACTGTCACCATACTTGGTCAGTCCTTGGTAGCAAACTGCCAATTAAACCAAAAGCAGGATACTCTGACAAACTTACACCAGGCCATGTGGCATGAGATGAAGGGGAAAAAAGCACCCCACAGCTGATTCATTTACTAGGCTCTTAAGTGTCTCGTATACACTGCCCCTTTTAACCCTGTGAGAACCCAAAGGTGCACAGTGTCCCTATTTCAAGTCCAAACGTCCTTCATAACCAGCATCTCAACCAAATGTGGAGACATAGTTTTTGAAAAACTTCCTTTTTATGCCAGAGCCTGTTTAGCCTCCAATATGAAAAATATCAAATTTAGCAAGAGCTCCTTTAATAGCAAGGCCATAACCCAGGGAATGAAGCAGTTGTTACCAATGACTTGCTTTTCCATCTTTAAGAATTATCTGACTCAGGAGCTGGGGTGATAGCTCCACTGGTTAATCTTGCACTTCCAAGCGCTGGCAATCCACACGGGGTGCCAGGTCATGTCCCAAATGTTCCACTTCCCATCCAGTTCCCTGCTTATGACCTGGGAAAACAGTGGAGGATGGGCCAAGTCCTTGGGGCCCTGCACCTGGATAGGAGGCCCAAAAGAAGCCCTTGGTTCCTGCTCAGCTCAGATCCAGATTGCAGCCATTTGCAGAGTAAACCAGCAGACGGAAGATCTTACTCTCTACTCTCTGTAAAACTGCCTTTCCAACAAAAGTTAATAAATCTTTTTAAAAAATCATGTGACTCATATATTCTATACCTAATCCATTTGTGAAGTGTGTTAATAACACTCCTGCCCCACTCCCTCACTGGGGGTCCAAGAGGATACACTGTCGGTCTTCCAGGGCCCCGCCATCACTACAGACCCCCAAGTCCCTCAATGCTGTGACGAAGGGTGAGGGTGTGGGGCATGACAGAGAGCCTGCCTTTAGAGGCCACAATCACTTTTGGGGTTAAATTCCATTCAAACAGCTTATCCTCAGTAGCTCTGACTCTCAGTCAGTTGTCCCCAACCTGTCAACTTCAGGGCATGTCACAGCTGTATGGTTAAAACAAGAGTGCAAGTAAACAAAAAGACATAAAATCTGCAAGAACTTTTTAGAAATATAATCCAATTTTTCAAAAATTTTCCATATTAAGGTAACTCACTCAGTAAGACAAAAACAAGTCCAGGTTAAGACGTCAAATCCCAGGATTTTCATCTATATCACAGTGACCTAGACTAGGGAAGTTTCATTCCTGGACATACAACGTGATTAGAAGTCAACAAAAAGCAAACTGGGAAAGTAGTTTTTTCCAACAAGTAACTCATTATTTTGTACAGATAACCAAAAACTGAGCGAGCTCAGAGGCCCTGTGCTCCCGTCCCGGTGCCCACCAGCTGCCTTAGTCTTTAGCCTTCTGTAAGTTGCTTAGTGTATCCGTCCTGTGGGACTACCCCCCAAACACATCAATAACAACACAGCACTCACACGCCAAGAACCATGGAGTGCTCTGTGCCTCATGCGCGATCTTCAGCAGCACGGACTAGGTAGGTAATTCTGATGCCCCCATTCCCTAAGCAGGGACTCAGACTCAGTTATCGTGGAGTGCCCAGGTTCACAGGCACGCAGTGAGGTCCAGGCCCCACCAACCCACCGCCCCATCTTCCTCCTCAGCATTAGCATGATCCGTGGTATCACCACTTCATAAAACTGCCAAGAAAAACTACTGCTGAAAAGAAAATGTATGCGGAGTATTATGCATTTATTAATATTCTAAACATCAAGTTACGTGATTCACTTATAAGCCCTGACTGCAGAAACTACAAAAAGGATGCCTAAAATCTGAGCTATACAGAAACATACTTGCCCAAAGGAATGTAACTTGGACAGAACTCTATGTCCTACCTAAAAGTTAGCAGAGGTACCCTCAGGCCTCCTACAAACCTCATCACGTCTGATAGTCTGACACATAATCAATCAGGGCCACAGGTTAAACACCGCGAAACCTGACGCTGCCCTGTCGGACTGGAGTGATTCTCGGTCTGGTTCTAACTGCGGGGACCACGTGCCGCCAAGTGTCTCCTCAGTCGGGATCCCCAGCGTGTGGCATTTACCTGACAGTGAAACACCTTCCCTATCTGTGGAAAGCTGACCTGCCCTGACTTCAAGGCCGCCACTCCACTCCACTCCACCTCTCCAGGTTGAAGGACTAAGGGAGTGGCGGGGGACAGATGCCTAAAACGCAAGGGGACTGACTAGAAAGGCGGAGAATGAGAATGAGTGTGGGAATGTCTCAAAGTTTCAAGAGTGAGAGTCCTCCTCCGGCGTGGACCACGCGGGGAACACGTGTTGAGCCTGAACCCAAGAGACAGGCGTGGGGGTGGGGGTGTCCCGGAAGCAAGCAGACAGACCTGCCCATCCCAACTGCCCAGGGCTGAGCCCACGAGCTGGGGTCAGGGATGCAGAACCACAGCACGGTCCCACCAGGAGGCTCTCCCATGGGTACCCGGCCGAGGAGCGCGGCCCGGCACCGCGGAGCCGTCCCAAGGGGCACCGGGGGCCTGGGCGAACATGGCGGCCCGCACCCCGTGCGGAGCCGGGAGCCCGCCGGCCGGAGCCCGGGTCCACGGTCCACGCGATCGTGCCGCGCCCTCACGCACTGCCCTCTGGAAAGGCCGCGCACCCGCCTGGCCGGCAGCGTGGGCCCGGGCGCGCCGCCGCGCGCTGCGCCTCCTCACCCCGGGGGCGCCGACGGCCCTGCACGAGGCCGGATCCCGCGCCGCCCAGCTCCCGGGCGCGGGGGCCGGAGCGGGGAGGGAGCCCGTCCCCTGCCGACCCGCTGGCATTACCTTGGCCTGCAGCCTCGCCGGCGCCCAGGCCAAGCAGGTGCAGGTACCGCTGAGGTGCGCGGAAGGCACGTACTCCTGGTGCAGCCGGTTGTTGGCGGTCTCCCACACTCGCAGGTGTCCATCGGTGGAAGCCAAGGCGAAGTAGGCCTGCCCGTGAGGGGAGAAGGCGCAGGGGACCCCCGCCGGGGCCAGGGGGTCGCCGCTACCGCCGCCGCCCGCCGCCATTGCTGCTCTGGCTCCGCGGGAGCCACGTGTTCGTCCGTGCGCAGGCGCACCGGCGGAGGGCGGGGCCTCGAGCAGGAAGTGGAGCGGGGGCGTGGCTGCCGGCGGCGCCGCGGAGCGTCGGGCGGGGCTGGCCCTGGACGGTGGCCCGCTGGGGCCGGTTGCTGACTCGGTGTGAGGAGATCCTGTTGGGGAACCTGACGGGAGAAGGGAGGGCACGACCCGTCCCTTAAGGGCGGGGAAGGGAAAGCTATATGACAAGGTTAGACGAGATGCGTAGAAAAGAAATATTCGTGCTGCGAGCGTTTGCGTGGCGGCTAAGACGCCTGCGTTCCATATGGGAGTGGGTTCGAGTCCCAGCGTTCCAGTGCACCGAGGGAGGAGGCAGCCGGTCAAGTCCCTATGTCCACCTGGAAGACTGTAGGTCTTCGCCCTGATATAACTGGTTGCTGCAGCGTTAGGAGCTGAACCAGCCTTGGGCGGTCTCTCCCTGTGTCTGTAGGTTTCAAATAAATAAATAAATCTTCACTTACCAGGCTGACTGTGACAACTGTTCCCATCTTCTCCCATCCACTTCGGAGCTGTCATCCTGCACACACGTAATTCTTTCCATCAATTACTGTAAAAGGAACAGTGAAAGCAGCTACTGTTTCTTAAAAATTACAATTTGTATCCCATGCTGTAGCTCAAACAGACTTTTTGGGATCTCCTTAACATCTCTCCAAGCCGAGGCGTTTGAATTCTAGCTACTATTCAGCCCAAGCCAGGTTTGTTGCCTTCCGCCGCAGTGGGAGAAGACAGGGACTTTGACACAGCTGCAGAATGGCACAGTGGGGCCTGCGTTTTCAAAGGATGCTTGGCGGCGTGGTAACCTAGTGGCTAAATCCTCGGCTTCCACCCGCCAGGATCACATATGGGCACCGGTTCCAGTCCAGGCTGCTCCACTGCCCATCCAGCTCCCTGCTTGTGGCCTGGGAAAGCAGTGGAGAATGGTTTAAGTCCTGGGGACCCCATACCCATGTAGGAGACCCGGAAAAGCTCCGGGCTCCTTGCTCCTGGTTTTGGATCAGCTCAGCTGCAGCAATTGGGGCCACTTGGGAAGTGAAGCAATGAACAGAAGATCTTTCTCTCTGGCTCTCCTCTCTAAATCTGGCTTTTCCAACAACAACAACAAAAGAAAGGCACCTTGCGGCAGTGCGATGACGGTTTTGGAAGGGAGTGTGAATACGGCTGGAGTGCACTGGAGGAGTTGGCAGTGGAGACAGACAGTGCCAAGAGATGTTTATCAGGGCCCTGGGACTGTGGTGCAGTGGATTAGACTGCCATTTTTTAAGGATTTATTTATTTTTATGGGAAAGGCAGATATATAGAGAGGAGGAGAGACAGAGAGGAAGATCTTCCATCCAATGATTCACGCCCCAAGCGGCTGCAACGAGGCTACAACGACCTATGCTGTGCCAATCCGAAGCCAGGAGCCAAGGACTGCCTCGGGTCTCCTACGCAGGTGCAGGATCCCGAAGCTTTGGCCATTCTCGACTGCTTTCCCAGGCCACAGGCAGGGAGCTGGATGGGAAGCAGGGCTGCCGGGATTAGAACCGGCACCCATGTGGGATCCTGGCGCATTCAAGGCAAGGACTTTAACCACTACCCTATTGTGCCTGGCCCTAGACTGCATTTTTGATGCGAGCATCCTGGCTGTTCTGCCTCTGCCCTGGCTCCCTGCTGATGCAACCGGGGCCGGCAGCAGATAATGGCTAAAGAGTCATTGTCAGCCAGTGAGTGAATGAGCCAGTATGTGGAAGATTCTCACTCGCCCTATAAATCTTTTTTGGAAGATACTTTTTTAAAAAAATTGTTTTTCTTGGAAAGGCAGATCTACAGAGAGAGAGAGAGAAGGGAATAGCAAGATCCCCCATCTGCTGATCCACTCCCTAAATGACTGCAACAGCCAGAGCTGAGCCAATCCAAAACCAAGAGCCTGGAACTTCTTCCTGGTCTCGCATTCGGATACGGGGTCCCGAGGCTTTGAGCTTTCGTCTGCTGCTTTCCCAAGCTACAATCAGGGAGCTGGATGGGGAGTGGAATAGCAGGGATGTGAACTGGCTGTCTATATGGGATGCTTGATGCTTGGAGGTGAAGGGTTAGCCTATTGGCCCAAAGCGTTAGCTCCAGAAAATATGCTTATTAAACACAATAGATGGAATTTCAAGAGGAATGAAAGGAAAAAGAAAGGCCTAGAATAACTCCTTGGGCTTTTACGCCAAGAGATTGCTGGGTGGGATCCAATTCACACAGGATAGCAAATCCTAGAGGAACAGCTGGTTTGTGAAAGGTGATGTCACTTTTAGTCTGGAAAGGGATTCATTCACTCACTGGAACAAGTTGAATGTCTGCTGTGTGCCCAGTACCGTCCTAGGCAACAGCATCACATCAGTTACAGGAGACAGGATTCCTGCTCCCACAGAGCTTGTGCTTCGGACAGGAGAGCAGATAAGAATCAGGTAAGAAGGTAAATCCCCATTTCAGGTAGTTTAAGCTCTGTTTTTTTTTTTTTTTTTCTTAAAGGAGTCATAAATCAGAGGGTCAGAGGAAAGACCTTATCGTTGAAGGGCATGGGTTTTTCTCAGAAAGCTTTCCTTAAGCCATGCAGTGCAGAGCAGCTCAAGCAGAAAGAGCAAGGGCAGGGACTCTGAGGCAATGAAGGCTTTGACAGACTGAAAGAAACGGCCCAGGCTAAACAGTGAGAAATGGAAGAATCAAAAGTGAGAGGTGAGTTCAGGCCCAGCCCTATTCATCATAGTAAACTGTTTGGATTTTATTCTAAGTACATAAATAAGCCACTGGATTATTCTGAGCTCTATTGGTAAAACGTCGTGCCTGCCAGGTAGAGTCTGTAGAAGAGCCAGGGAGAATGAGGTCGGAGGCTCTTGCCTAGTGTTTGGAACGGAGGACAGTGATGGTTAGAACGCTGATGAAAGCAGTGGAAGTGGTGAAAAGTGATGCAATCAGAAAGGAGGGTCAAAAGAACTTGCTGAATGGGTTGGTGGTGAAGGGTGAGGGAAAGAGAAGAATGTATAAAGATGGCGCTGCTTCAGCGATTCACAGACGGCGATACACCAAGGGTAAGTTGAAGAAACAGGTTTGGGTGGGGTGGAAATTAAGTGTTGTTTTGGACTCTTAAGTTTTAGATACCTGTTATGTTAAATAAGGTTGTTTGCTAGGAAGTTGAACACGTGAGTTAGGACTTGGAGAAAAGATCGCAGGCGGAGACACACAGTTTAGAAGCATTCGCAGGCAGATACTGTTTGAATCAGTGGAACTGGCATGCTCATGTTGGGTGTGGGTACAGACGAAGATGGCTTAGCCTAAAGCCAGGCCAATCTTCAGAGGTGAGGAAGAGGATCCAGAAACGGAAATTAAAAAAAAAAAATAAAGAGAGAGAGAGAGAGAAATAGGCACGGTCAAAGCTTAGGGGAATGAGGTGCCTTAAAATCAGAAAGGTATATGTAAGAATTTTAGAAATGGGGCCCAGCGTGATAGTGTAATGGTTAAGGTCCTCACCTTGAACATGCCGGAAATCCCATAATCCTGGCAGCCCTGCTTCCCAACCAGCTCCCTGCTTGAAGCCTTCCCCCCCACCCCCCACCCCCCCCCACTGGGCAGCAGCTTTTAATTGGAACACTTTGAGATCTTCGGTCCACACCTGCAGTCACATCTGCAGTGGGCTCAGAGCCTGAGAGTGCAGCTGCCACCTGTCAGAGCCAGGCTCCACCCTGCCCCGGGGGGTACTGATGCCAGTTCAGCACCTCACAGGGACACAGGCCATGGATGCGGCTCTGTCCTCAGTGCTGTCATCTTTTCATACCCACTGTGTGAGCTCTGAGAGCAACAGCCAGGTCACTGCCCCACAGGGAGACTGTACAGGTCAGAGGTTAAACAGGCTAGCAATGTGCAAGGATTGCTTGTGGCTTGTGGTCAAGGATGGCCCAAAGCTCTGGAACCCTGTACCCATGTGGGAGACCCGGAAAGAAGTTCCTGGCTCCTGGCTTCGGATCGGCGCAGCACTGGCCATTGTGGACACTTGGGGAGAGAATCATCAGACGGAAGATCTTCCTCTCTGTCTTTCCTCCTCTCTGTACATCTGCCTTTCTAATAAAATAAATAATCTTAAAAAAAAGAATTTCAGAAATGAGACATAATAAAGTGATGCCAAATTGCAAGATGAAGAACTAAGCAGTGGGCTTGTTAAGATCGAGGTCACAGATGCTCTTCCAAAGCATTATTAGAACAGCGATGGAGAGAGAAAAGTGATTTTAAAAAAGATGAGAAGGGCCCGGCACGGTGGCGCAAGTGGTTAAGATCCTCGCCTTGCACGCCCGGGATCCCATATGGGCGCCGGTTCTATCCCGGCAGCCCCGCTTCCCTTCCAGCTCCCTGCCTGTGGCCCAGGAAAGCAGTCGAGGACAGCCCAAGGCTTTGGGACCCTGCACCCGCGTGGGAGACCCAGAAGAGGCTCCTGACTTCGGACTGGCACAGCACTGGCCGTTGCGCTCACTTGGGGAGTGAATCATCAGATGGAAGATCTTCCTCTCTGTCTCTCCTCTCTGTATATCCGCCTTTCCAATAAAAAAATAATAAAAATAAATCTTTAAAAAAAAAGATGAGAAAATAGAGATGTATACACAGCTATCACAGAGATTTTTGTTATAAAAGAGCAGTCATGATTTGCATGAAATCTCACCTAGAGTTAGATGTTTGCGAGACATAAATAAATAAATAAAATTTAAAACTTAGGGCCCGGCGTGGTAGCCTAATGACTAAAGTCCTAGCCTTGCACATGCTGGGATCACATATGGGTGCTGGTTCTAATCCGGGCTGCTCCACTGCCCATTTTGCTCCCTGCTTGTGGCCTGGAAAAGCAGTTGAGGATGTCCCGAAGCTTTGGGTCCCTGAACCTGCATGGGAGACCTGGAAGAGGCTCCTAGGTTCTGGCTTCAGATCGGCGC